TTGTTTGGTAGTCTTCACATCATGGTTTGGTATCGCCTCTGCTCACTTGGAACCCCGACGGAGGTAATACCAAAAACAGTACCGGGTCCCAGGTACTATCACTAACATTTGACTAATGGAAAAACAAATAAGACGAGTAGAGTTGAGTCGGTACCAGGTGGTGGAAAAGGGGCTTTAATGAACTTAGTGGCTGTTATCAGTGGAGTAATCTCAGAGAAGACACAAACCTGCAGGGAGCTGTGGACTGCATTCTCTATTCACAGAGTCAGCAGATGACTCATTTGACAATAAGCTCGATTTCCTACAATAGATGTGCAGACCAGATAAAGCTGTTGGGCTAAAATGTTTCTCTGAGTTAGTGTGAGAAATGCAAGCCTTCACAGTGGCTATCCCCCACTACACACACACACACACACACACACACACACACACACACACACACTTCTTTTGTCTTTTTCCCCAGAAACAGAACTTCAGGAAAAACTGGTTCATCTGTGCTGACTTTGAGGTCTCGTTTCTGTTTTCAAAAGAGCTCATCCCTGCAGTTTGCTTTAATTAAAAACCTAATCCACGATTGTGTAGATAATGATGCACTTAACGCTTGCATGTGAGTACAACTCGCTAACACAACACCACCTCAGTTACTTGCCTGTTTTAAGAAGACGCTTAGAGACTGAATCATTACTTGGTGAGATGACAGACTTCAGTCCTCCACTTCAAAGATCAACGTCTTTACCGAGACCCTTTCTGTTCTATTCATATTAATCGCATTAGTTTAGTGGTTTTCCTGCCACGTTGGCCTGTCACTTTCACTTCTGTCACCTCCGTTCTATTCAGCGTACCTTTGCCTCTCTTCATTGTTTTGAAGCAGACTTTGTTCAGACAAGCAAAAGCCCACTAATGCTCTTGTCTTCTCAGTCTTTGGTGTGAGGAGAGAGAGCGATCTGGAGAAGCTGGAGGTATAAGGTCAATCTGTAAGAGCTTAGACTGCCCGCTTTTCTTGTTTTAATGCTCCAGTTGAGATGAAACCAATAATTCTATTGATCCATGAAGAGGAAGTTTGTTTTCGTGCTGCCTCATCTGTTTTTCAGCCACACATCATGAGGAAACACATAGCTCTTTATATGGTACAACAGGAGAGGTTGCTGCATTGTCCCTACAGAGCATTTCTTTTTTAATTTCATTTATTTAACCTTTATTTTACCAGGAAGTCCCACTGAGATCTTTTTTTCAAGGGAGACCTGGCCACGATGGCAGCCATACAAATTTACAACATATTAAAATTGAGCACATGCAACACAATAACCAAAAATTTCATTCACATGATAAAAACAATGGACTCTCAAGGAAAACAGCTACATGTCGCCTTCACCGCATTATTTATGATGTCCTTAAATTCTACAATAACGATGAATGTGTCTAACTTTAGATCTTTCTGCAGGTTATTCCATGACCAAGGTGCATAGTAGGAAAATGCAGGTTTCCCCAGATCTGTGAAAATTCAAGGTACATTAAAAAGTGACCACCTGGAAGAGCTAAGACAGAAAAAGGTGCAAAGATAAGCTGGTAGTTTGCCTAGTATCGCTTTATAGATAAAAATATACCAGTGTTGTTGTCTATGAAGGGTCAGTGATGTCCATCCCACAAGCTCATAAACAATGCAGTGGTGAGTAAGAGACTTTACATTTGTAATGAAACGCAAAGATGCATAGTGCACTGACTCGAGGCTTTGTAAAGCAGAGGAGACTGCATGCATATATAATATATCACCATAAAGTACTTTAGTTTACATAAGATTTTCTTAGCACTGTATGTAAAACAAGATATATTTCTAAAATAAAGGCCAATCTTAACCTTAAGATTCCTAACTAGATTAACAATATGCACACTGAATAAAAGCTTATCATCGATCCATTTCCTCAGGTTAACGATGAGAATTGTCACGCTGGGGCCTATGACGAACACTAGCATAAAAATATTGTGGTAATGAATGAGGATAAGTATGATGTGATGATTTGTGATGACAGTGGTGTTGTTGTGGGTTTATGTGGGAGTAATTTGGCACCGTTGCATACACAAGTGATAAACGTCTAGAGGGAAGAGAGCCATACATGTTTTTCAGAATTCACAGATCACAAACACTGATCATTATCACTCTACAAGGTTGTGCCTAGCTAAAGCTAATAGTGATGCGCACATAAAATAACCTGTGCTATTAAATATTCCTTCCTGTCTACATGTTCCACAGTGCTGTCAGCTGATACAGGAACAAATTGTGCAGCGATATGTGTGATCCCTTCCTTGCTCTGTGTAATTGTGTTGTTGTGGGCCTTTATCCATCACTCCAACACTGTCTGGTGTTTGCCTTAAAAACTTGATAACAGCCTAATAAAGATGATTCACTGATGGTTATGAAAATAGTGAAGATAATGGATTTTCCAGGCTGTTATTGGACTGCAGACAGAGAGCGCTTGTAACCAGTGGATCAATAATTTGTACTTAAATTAAACATAATGCCTAATTTGTAGAATCAAGGTTTCATACCAGTGATAATGACTGTAGTTAACATGACAATTGTGCCCCTTAGTGGTAAAATATGTGAAGTACTGGCTAGTTATGCAGTGACAGACACACAGCCTGGTTGTTACTTACAATAAGTAGCCGATCTGTAAAACTCGGTAAATGTTAATGTCTACTCTGTGTCAGAAATTGAAATATGATTATTTTATCTGTGGTTCCTTTGTAAAACATGTTTGTAACATATCATTTAAGTCCTATTTTGGGTGATGCAGGAATTAACCACTGCCACAAACTGCATAACTCTTGTTTTTTATTAGAGTGGGAATGAAATGCTATAAATCCTTCAAGATCTGTTGTTTGTCCAACAGGCTGCTTTTACAAACATCTGCAAGACAGACAAAAGAGACAGTGCAGGGGTCGGCAAATAGCTTCAAATAGTAGGGGAGACCGGGGAGGAATGTAACACTGGGTAAGTTGTAACGCTGCCAGTTTGACCAGTCCAAAAAGCGCTGTGGTGGTGATATCACTATCAAAAATTCCCATTTTCTTTCTGAGCTGACAGGAAAAGTGGTAGGTTTTTGTGAGGAAGATGACGTGCCTAACCTAAGATAAAGTGGTTTTGTCCCTTTATTTACTCACTTTATTCAAAACTGATCATTCTTTGTGATTCAATACAATTCTTGCATAAATTAGATAGTGTGGGGATTATTTCAGCAAATTCTGTCTTGTTGTTACATCCATCCCCAACTACTGTTACAACTCAGCCCAGTAGTGGGGTAGCTTGTAACAACACAACTCTTTGCATTCGATTTTAACTCACACAATCTCTGACTGTGTAGTCATCATCCAAGTGAGTTTTATTTGTAGTAGACAAATGGGGTACCGTGTATCAAAGTTCGGGCGATCTAGCACGAACAGCTACTGAGCTAGTGGTGCTCAAACATAAGGTGTTACAATCATCCCTGGTCTCCCCAACATGCACTTTTTAGTAGTGGTCAGTGGAGGGGCCAGTATAGTTTTAGACCTTTTTTTCCCTAGAGGATGTTATATTTGAGTAGTTTATGTGTATTAAAAATAAAACAAATTTGTAAAATGTGTCTATTCCTCATTCTATTGTTTAGTGCTCTTCTGCAAAAAGTGACTCACACAGGCAAATGTGTTTGTGTTGCACTATGAGACCTGTGCTTTATAGGTTATCCACACAGTCACCTTTGACCTTAAGAGAAAGCACTGTTGTTATTGCCTTAAAAGACGTCTCCACTCATTTATGTTTACCATGTAAATTATTAATTATAGTCAGTTAGTTATGAGTAGTTATGAATTCATGCTTACTGAAACTTGTGAGTTCCAGTAGATTTGTGAGAAATGATGAAGACTCTTTGATGCAAACAGTAAAAGACAAACAGCTAAATATATTTTGTTAGTGGGTGCAAATATTTACAGTGGAGGGTCAGATCTGGCCCAGGCACCTCTGGGATGCTGTGTCCTATGACAGGAGCTCATCTGGCAGGATGAGGGTCTGTGGTGAAATTAACTTTGCGTGAATACACACCTAAAAGACTTGTGCTGGTCATGACAACCCGAATCGAAAATGAGAAAACTGACCACACACTGAAAGCTTACATGATATATTTATAAAGTGTAGTCGACGTTTCGATCTTCTTCTGTGGGGATGAGGTTGTGTAGACGTGAGAAAACAGGCCATACATCTGCATTGCCGTGCTCTGGGAAATACAGTGTTGTGAATATACGGATAATTTTCTGCTACTGCCTTCTCCCTACTAGTGCACTCACAGGTTTAGTTGGGATCTTTTTTTAAAATCACCTTTTCAGGCTTGTTGCAGTAGCACCGCCAAACACCCGATGGCGCACAGCAGCCAGTTCATTTAGTATCCCAGTATGCTGTAATAATGTTAATGGAAAATCTTGGGATTTTCCCTTTACCTTGATGTGAAACTAACCTTCACTATTCCCTAACCAGTCGTTTTTACGATGCTTAATCTGACCCCATCCATTGTCTGCCTACCCCCGAGTCTTGGGATTGACGTTTACCGTTTGTGCAGGTGTGGACAAAAGTTGTAAGAAATTTTAAAAACGGCTTTTCTAGACATCAGGAAAAGTGTAGAGTTCCCAGGGAAGCTACGTAGTCCCTTTAACTAGACAGTGATCTTATTTCTCATCGTCATCTCAACTTTATTTACTGAACCATTTCAGTTTAATAAATAAAAAGCAGATATTTGGAATAAATGTATGAAAACGGATGTTAAACTGTGTTGCCACTGTCAAAAAGAATAAGGCTACATAAATAAAACAAAAATAAAAAAGTAATATTAAGTAATCTTTTAGTTCATACCACAGTTCGCAAACATACAGTGCGTAGACTAAAATGTACTGATTGCTTTTAAAGATTCAGTGAGTGTGTTAGGAAACTATCTGGCATTGTGCATTCTTATTAAAGGTTTAATGTAAAGTGAAGGGCGTCGAGCATCGAGCCACCACAGCTGAGCCTCTGTGAACTTGGAGTGCTGCTGACCGGCCCCTCTCCTCCGTCCCTCCCTCCTGCTGCTCACAGAAACTCCTAGGCACAGCCAGCAGCGCCTCAGACGCGCACTGCCGCGCACACGCCTTTCCCAGTCGAAACCCATGTACTCTGTGGTTCCAGCTGTGTTCTCACAGACGCCTTTGCTTTGGATAGCCTACAATGCTGGATTAAACGCATTCACTTTTGTTACTGGATCAACGGAGTTCGTTTTCCGCCAGCGCAGGTATAATGACCGCGTCCTGCAGAGGGTCGATTCGTTAAAGGTAAGCTGCACCCAAAACTCCAGAAACTCTCGGTCTACTGAAAAACACGTTTCTTTGACAGACATTAACGTTAACAAGTCTGACTGGGCAGTGATTTTGTATGGAAACACGAAGAGAAGCGCATTACACCGGGTTTTGGAGCGACACTGGAGATAAAAAACATTATTTGAGGTTTAAACTCAGTGTTGGCTGCGGATCCTTGTTTCACATTGGGAATATCACAGTTAACAGTATCTTACCAGCTTGTAATTGGGGCATTTCAGCAGGCTGCACATATATAAAAGGATTATCGGTTGTCCTCACTGGCTTGGCTGCTGTTGTGCGCAGTTGAACAACTTTTGCACTCTTGTTTAGCTGCCAGCGTCTGCACTGGATCCCTGTTAATGAGTAAACTTGAGAATTTGGACACTGCACTGAACTCTGTGATACTGAATGGTATTCCCCTCTTTCGTTTATTTTTAGGGGTTCGGTATTTGCACTGTGACCTGTTTGCACACTGATACTGAAGAAGAAGCAGCCACATTTTGACCATGGATTTCGGTAACGATGTAGATCTCAGCAATAATAATATAGCTCCTTTGTGGAAACGTTGCAGAGACGACTGTAGGAGGCCCCAGGACTTGAACAAGCCCAAGCCGCAACCCCTTAGTTACCATACAAATGGGGTAATGATGACAGACTTCCCTGTGGAGGACAACATGCACTCCCTCACGCTGAGCCAGTCTGCTGAGACACTGGTCACCCCTCAGTGTCCGGGCAGGAACGTTGTAGTGCTGAAGCACGTTTTACACAAACCCTCCAGGAAATCCCGAATAGTTCGAAGCATCAGCATTGGGCATGGACGGTTCTTACTATCCAAGTTTAGGTCTGAGGATGGAAGATCCGCTTCACTGGACAATAGAATGTGTAATGGAGAGCGTGTCACTGGGAGAGTCAGGAATGAAGAGACGGAGTGGCCTGAAAGGGGTCTCCAGGACCCCCAGAAAGGCATTTCTGGTCCTTTCAGTCTGAGTTCACAGAAAGACCATATAGCTTTTGGGACAAGTTCGCCCTCACCTGAAGCTGTTCCTCTTAAGCCTTGCTCTCCTGTCCTGTCTCTGTGCACTCCTAACCACAACAACAACAACTACAACCAGCATGAATTGTCTTCCCTTTCCTCCACATCCAGTCCCTCTCCTCCAGCCCTCCGTACCCCAACCCCCTCCCTTAGCTCCAGCTCCAGCATCCCCTCCCTCTTTTCCCTCACCTCCTCAGACCCCCCGACCCCACGCTCCCCGTCGCCAACAGACAGAACACAAGGGCTCTTCAGACAGTGGTCATCTTCAGCTGGCTCCTCACAGGACACCAGACATGCCTCTTCCTCCTCCTCTCTCTCCCCATCTGTCTCTCCCTCCATTGTCCTTAGCACCAACAGCCCTGCTGCCCTGAAGATGGGCACACAGCAGCTCATTCCCAAGGGTTTAGCGTCTGATATTCGTCAGAGCAAGGCGCCCTCCGCTGGGCCACAAGGCCAAGGTTTGGCAGGGTTTCTGGGGTTGGATCATTCCAAGCGAGCTTTGAAATCCCTCAGCATGGTGGAGACAGGAAGCTACTTTTCCACAGGCGTTGAAAGGACAGAAGGGGAAAGTGAGAGTCCAGAAACTTTAAGGAGAGGCTTGAGGAGTACATCATACAGGAGGGCCGTTGTGAGTGGAGTAGACTTAGAGATCCCATTGGTAGGTCCCAAGGCCCAAAGGATGTCCCAGCCTGTCATCAAAGGGCTAAATGGGGATAATCCAGATTCAGCAGTCAGCCCAGTATGTCCTGGCACCGTAAGCCTCCCTAGCCCTGGGACACCCAAACTTGCCAGTCCTAGTTCACTTAAACCTACCAGCCCCAGGATTTCCAAACCTACTAGCCCTCAGAAAGAAAAGACTCCCAGCTTTGGAAAAAACAAGGTGAGTAAACATGTTGGTCCAAAAAAGATCATGGTGGGTTAAAAGGAGAAAAGGAATGAAACAAACACGTGTGCTCTTAGATTTCAAACATTCACATAAATAGAAGTACGAGCTATTTGGGGATAATCATGCGAAGTTTCTAATAATTTCATGACTTTTTCATGAGACAGTTAACAACAAACATCTATTTTTGACTTTTACCCTTAAGATCTGACTATACCAGCCTGCCTCTATATAAGATGTTTTAGAGAACTTACCATAATCAGATCCTAGTACATTCCTACAAACAGTGTGCACATGTAGCCCTGTAAATTTTGGCATTGCATTTTGTTTTCCTTTGCTGTTGCAGATTGAGATTTCTCAGCTTAGTTAATCATTTATATTTGACTGTGCACAAAGATAGCTTTGACATGGACTTTCAGTACTGAGAGGAAAAGTCCACATTGTAAAACAGTGAGAGATGTTACAACAAGGCCTTACAAGGAAACGCTTGACAGACATGATGTAATGTGACACCATGCCCCCACATGCACACTCTGTAATTAGATGGGTCAGCAAAGGATGTCGCCACAAAGGTCATGGACAGGTGACAGAGGTCATCTGCCTGTTCTATTTTAAGTGTATGTGAGTAAGATTCCCCAGTTTGTCTGAGCCATTACATTTATATTGTTTCTTTTTCAGAGTGCAGATAAGAAGAAAATTTTGATCACTCAGCGGACATTTGACAGTGAGGGTGAGAAACGCATGTTTCCCTTCATTTTACCATGTGCTGCCTTTCTGTATCTCTCTCTCCCTGTCAAACAAACAAAAAAATCTTGTTTTTTTAAAAACATCAACATGATGGTAGCTCTTTCTGTCAAAAACCGGGTGTTTCAGAGGAGGAGCTGTATCAGAACTACCAGGAGAAGGCCTTGCATAATGATTCAGATGAGGATGCCGATTCCAGAGAACCCAAGCCTGACAACGGCATCGTGGTGCAGTACAGACCCATACGCACCTCCTGGAGCCAGCTCAGCGTGGTCAGACATGACACACAGACATAAACACACACAGAGGGCTGCGGTTGTGACCGTTCTTCATCTTATAGCTAAAGTACTCTTCCTCTGCACAGACAGACATACAGTGTGCACTCAGTGCTGTGGAGCCATGGAATGCTAATGCTTTGAAGAATGCTGTCATATCCAGTTTGGCGACAGTCCATCCTCCCACTGTTTCTGCCTTCCTCTGGCCCCTCATTCTGTTTATTAGTGAGCACAGGGGCATTTCTTCTAGGACTTGGGTGGGCAGGCAGACAGTCAGGCTCACTGGAACTCTTGGAAACACAGCTGCGCCTAATGCCAGCGTGTTGGCAAACTCTGCACACTCGTCAGACTGCAAATATGTTTGAAATGTTGCCTCTAGAGAGAACTGTGGTGGCTGCATTACATAATATAGTCCGGGGTTGGAATGGAGGGATGGGGGATACAGAGGAAGGGAATGAGCTAATTCAATTTTCTAGTTAGACATTCTCATCTGTTTGATTACTTGTTGAGGAGGGAAAATGTGGGAGCAAACGCAGGCCAGCTGAGACAGAGCTGTTTAGGATTAGTTTTGAAATTGCGGATATATGTACACAGACTCTAATAAATGGAAAACTGAAGTTAGGCAACATTCAGAAAATTTCTGTGGTCATCTTTGTTCCTGCATATGTTAGTAAACAAGTGAATAGGGCACGGTTTTATATCACCAGGCTGAGCAGGAATCTTCCAAATAAAGTCACCTTTTTATGTCACAGCTGCTTTACAGCTGTGGATCTGTTGACATCAACGTGTTTGGCCAGACAGTACATGATGTAAAACTGTGCTATTTGTCTTCAGCTTTCAGATTTCATTATGCTATCATTGTCCTGGTGTGATTGGAAATGAGCTTAGTTCCAGTAAAGCCCAGAACCAGATTCACAACTTGTCACCTCTCCCTCAGCTCCTGCTTTCTCTTACTGTTCCTTCGTTGAGGGTTTAATGACAGGCTTAGGGTTTGATGTGACATCCCAGAAGTTTCACATTTCCAGGACTTACCACTTGTAGTCTCAGAAGGTGGAGCTGTCCTGGAGCCAGCTTTTAACATGGTGCTAAAATTGCACAAAGAACGAAACATAGAAAAATTCAGGAATTACCTTTAAATAGTGATGCCTAATTGATTCCAGTTACACCCAGTAAAACTGCAAAGCAGGCCAAAGTTCAGTTGGCAAATGGTTGCTGGCACATTAAATCCTTACAGCTTTCTGCTGATGGCTGGCTTTGCTGATACGAAGTCCTGAAGGTTTTGCCGAAGGGAATGTAAGAACAATAAATAATAAAACAGATGTATGTGTGAAAGGCATAGAAAGAAAGAATCACACTAGATGTTTAGTCTGCTGCAGGTTTGTTTGCTCTCAGTGTTTGCTGAGGGCCGCAGGGCAGATACTGGAGAGAGGGAAGGCTCTTCCAGGAGCAGTATCGCTTCCTTGTGCCTTTACACTACAACAGGAGGAGAAGCTAGTGGAAGTTAGGATAGATGGCCTCTCAGGGTTTCTGCCCACATGTGTGATCTGGTAAAGTAGAATGTGAAAGTGATACAGGTCATATTGGTTGTATTTGACGAAACGTGAGACAGGCATGCTTTTTACTTAATTGCAGTCTAACAAAACCACAGGCTCATTAGTTAAACAGAACTTCACACTGAGATTATTTTAAACAATTGAAGATCTTTTGCAGATATTTCTGGATTTTATCTCGCCAGCTAACATGCATGTACACTTTTCTTTAAACCTTGGCCAAATTACATATTGACACAAGCACAAGAGGTGCCCTCTTCATCTTCAGAGTTTTGTGGACACAGCAGTTTTCCTGTTTCTACACTCACCCTGTGCCTCTGTTTGGTGAAGATCTATTCACATGCTCTACAGCAGCTTCACTGGCTTCACAGTGCTCCCTTCTTTGTGTGCAGAAACACCAGTAACACAAACACCCATCCTAGAAATGCAAAGAGCCCCTAACCTGACAAAACCTCAGGGAAGTTGACAAGTGTGACTGTGTTTGACATTTGGTCATGACTTTTACAATCTTTTTTTTTTATTATTTCACAAAATGTGTTTTCTGTTTAGGTAAAGAAAAGTGATCTGCCTAATCGTATGAGTCAGGAGGAACTCAAAAGACAAGAGGTACCATGTGTTACACTTTGGTTGGGGGGTGGGGGTGTCAGGTAGTCCATTTGGTCTCTGTAAACTCCACTTAAAAAAAAAAAAAAGAGTCCAGCTGGAAACAGGCCTCATGTGCTATTACAGTGTATCTTTAAGGCAAATGCATTGTAAAGAGGATGAGAAGCACAGATGTTCCATTAATTATTTAATTGAATCCAAGACTGATGAGTAAAAGCACTGAAGTGGCTGGCGGCTTTCTGTAAGTGCTTAGATGTGTGTTATTTAACAGCATTTAACACATGACTGAAGCCTACAGGTATGCCGAGCATGTCAGAGCTCTGGTCATGTTGTAGCCTACTGTGTCAGGGTATAGTGCGGTAACTGAAGTTCAAAAAATCACAAAATAAATGTATTAAATCACATGTGGCGAACAAAATAACAAATGCTCTCTGTTTGTCCTCCCTCTTGCCCTTCATTAGGCCATTTTCGAGGTGATCTCGTCAGAGCACTCTTATCTGCACAGCCTGGAGGTCCTGATCCGCATGTTCAAGAACTCCACAATACTCAGTGAGGCCATGACCAAGACCGAACACCACCATCTCTTCTCTAACATCGTTGACGTCTGTGAGGCTAGCAAAAAGTAAGTGTGCTTGTGTTATAAAGTGCAGCTTTTGTAGGCAGAGCTATTATCGGGCATACAACGTTTTGTATCTTTGTATTAGATTCTCTTTGTGTATGTTTATAGAATTTTAATGATGTCAGTAACTTACAGTAAGTGTTGCTTTTTACATGCTGGTTGGTTTTTTTGCATTTCACTTAGTCTCACTCAGTCTGTGGGTCAGTGTTTGGAGCTTTTAGTTTTAGCAAATGAGCTGGAAAATGTTACTTAACGGCAGCTAACAGATGGTAGGCTGCACTCATTCCACATGAGGGGTGTGTGTAAATACTGTTTACTGTTGTTTGTTTAGACTGGCAGCCAGCGCAGAGCTGTTTGCTTGTTATGAGGTCACGTGCTGATGAGGCTGAGATGAATCAACTAAAATTCAAATTCACCAAAACAAAAACGAAATAAGAAAAGAGCAGTTTAGCTTGATTCTGGTTGTATTGTCAGTGTGAACAAGTGTGAGGGCATGTAAATGTAACCGCCAAAATCTGCTGCCATGAGTCCTCTGAGCTTTCCTGTCCATCAGGACTTATTGTGCGTGGATGTGAACTTGTGTAATGGCATTATGGTAGTGACCTCATGTTTGAATGTAATTCTGTTGCTCAGTTTCTGAATATTGTCTGGTCATATTTCATTGTGAGAACAGTGTCAGATCTTGCTCTGAAGTCACTTAAATCCTTGGTTGAGACCACATGTAGTCCAAGGCTTTCAGTATTTCAACACTTTCCCCCCATTTTGAGTGGATTCAATATGTTAAACCGGGGCTCTAAGTGCAGCCACTTAGAGGGTTTTCACATTAGTCATGATTGTTTCATACTGTGCCCAACCACAATCCCCTCACCCAGAAGGTTTGCTTTCACATTAGTAATATTGTTACATGCCCCAACACACTGGCATATGTACACAGTCCAATACAGTAGGTGGCAGTATTCACATAGTTGGTTTACAGTTCGCCAAGAAAAAGAAAGAAGAAGAAGCAACCACTCACATAATCAACAACTAGCAACATTTGTTTCTGTTTCATGCATGTGTAAATACTGATGAGTACCTCCATAGGTCTCAAAGTTTTTGTGTGTAGTTGTTTTCATTGGCCCAAATTTCAAGCAAGCATTTTACTTATTCGTTACTCCACAAAGATCCTTTCATAGCCATGTTTGTTTATGTTTAAACCAACAGAGTCAAACAGTTATGAAGTCACATAGCCCACTTCCTTGCATTCACATCTCCCGCGGACCATACTCTAGTGCATGTGAATTGTGCTTGAGACCGCCTCTTAAAGCAGACATGGGCACGGTGCCCGAGTCCGGTATGCTTGTGTTCACATTGATCAAAATGAACCGGATTTTGGGGTCAAGTGTACTCAGATTCGAGCCCGGGTCCCTGATGTGAAAGCACCTTTAACCAAGGGCTTGCTGGATGCTATGGGTTAATACACGTGAAAGTAGCTGCTGCTTTTCTGTTGCCTAGGGGTGTTAGTATAGTTTATGCAGGGCTGAAATTCTCAGTGTGCAAAGCCATTTTAAAACAATTTAATTGTAGTCTGTGACTGTCTCAGTGGAAGTGTGTGTGTGTGTGTGTGTGTGTGTGTGTGCATACATGCGGAGCATTCATGACCTCGCTTCTGCAACTGTTCATGACATTTGCTTAAAGATTCCATTTCAGCCCCCTCCTTGGAGAGAGATTTCACCTCATGCATATAGTATATCCTCTGTAGTACATTTGACTTTGAGGAAAAGCTTCTACAAATATGACTCCTAGCTTTTTACAGCTCATTAGGAGCATGTGGATTGACATGGGCCATAATTATTTACACATCAGTCCCACTTTCTGTGGTGCTCTCTGTAAATTCTTCAACAGTACCTCACATTGCTGTGTTCAGAGGTGCTTTACTCCCCCACCTAAATACTTAGACCTGCATAGCTCCAGAGATGAGAGTGGACAGAAGACAGCTGTAGGGACAGCAGATCTTAAACTATAAAGCGGGCTGCAGTCCAGGTTGAGCAAGATGTTGTACTTGGAACAGAGTGCTGTCTGTGTGTGATCAGCGAGTAGAAGGATTGTTGAGTATTTGATTTGCAGGTGTGTTCCTGATTGGGTTACACTTGCAGCCCCAGGCTGTCAGTCATTATCATAACATATTACTTTATGACTGAAAGCGCATAATGTACAGAGAGCATCCCTGAAGGCTGAGAAATTTTGTGGTGGTATTTTTCCTTTATAATTCCTTAAATCCACTGTTGTGTCCTTTCCCCTCATGACACTGTGCTGCTATTAGGGTCAGTGAATTTTGCCCCAGGAGCGAGCACGGCTTGAACTTGAGAAGACTTGACTTGTTAAAGCTCCGGATACACCTTTAGGACACTGATCAGACAACAGGGCGGTATATGTGGTTTTTTTTGTTATGCGGTGTGCTCATTCCCTCTTTAGGAAGGTTACATTTCAGAGAGTACAGCTTCAGACATGGTCACAGGAAACCTCGTTTCCCATAGCCATAGCACCCGGTGTGCGTATAGAGCAGGCAGGGATGGGGCTGGGTCGGGGCCCTAGAGGTGCTTTAACAGATGAGCTCAAACCAGGTCCAGTCGTTCAAGGTCAGCATCCTGTGTCTGTGCGATAGCTTCCTGTTTGTCACTTTGGATCGCACACACAAAAGGACTTATCCTCTTTAAGTTGGACATATGGCGTGCCATTAAACCGGCCATCTGTTGATAAGGAAGAGGAAACGCGTCTGTGTTATGGTTATTGTCTATTTTAAGAGGTGGGGAGTTCCTTTTAAGAAGAAAGGTGTTCGTGGCACTTCCTGCCTCCCTGACTTTATCTGTCACCCTATCCTATATTTTTTCCCAATCTGTGTGGTGACTCATGATTTTATGCTTCTGACTCAAGCTGTTGTTATGTACAGTTTGACTCCCTGACTCATTAACCCTTATTCACCCTATGTTCAGGTTCTTTAAGGAACTGGAAGAAAGACACCAACAGAACATAATGATCGATGACATCAGCGACATTGTCGGCAAGCACGCTCAGTCCAACTTTGATCCTTACATCACATACTGCTCCAATGAGGTCTACCAGCAGAGAACCCTGCAGAGGCTGGTGTGAGTGACCGAGTGGACACACACACACAGACAGACATTCTTATCATATCTCTCATGGTTTTGATCCAGCATAGCTCATCGGACAGTTTGAACCTGGGAGCTTAGCTCTTCTTCCCACTCCTGTTTTCCTCATTCTCTCTGTGCATCATCGGACACTCCTCGTTCTTAACACCCAGTCTCCCTCCTTCCTCCCTTCCAGGTCCAAGAATCCAGCTTTTAAGGAAGCGCTGACCAGGATAGAGGGCCACCCAGACTGCCGAAACCTCCCCATGATCTCTTTCCTCATCCTGCCCATGCAGAGGATCACTCGTCTGCCTCTGCTCATGGATGTGAGTGCACTGAAGACAGACAGTAGCGCAAACTTTGGAATTTGGAAGCCTCTGACTCCTACACAACAGTTTGTTTATTCATACTTGCCTGACTGATAGTACATAGGGTGTGTTCTAACCCCAGAGATGTTTATTTGACCTTCCATGTTTCCTTAATAATATTAACCGATTTAACTTTGTCTCTTTTTTTTCTTTGTGATCTTTTGTTTCTCAAGTTTCATGCTTCCTTTGGCACCATATTATTCTGTCCCAGCTGTGCCCCCCCGCTTCCTCTCTCTTGTTCTGCTGTCACCCCCCTCTCGCCCATCTTCCTTCAATATCTCTCTGGGGACTCTGGTACACTCAGAGGCTTTTGGATCCTGAGAAAGTTTGGTTTCTGTTCATCTCTTCCCACAACCTCCTTTAGGCATCAGTACTTCATCAGGCATGGGTGCAGTAAATTGTTTAGTGCATGAACATGTTTTGATGTTATAAATTAGTGTAAATGATATGTGCCCTGACTTCCTGTGTCGTTACAGACAATTTGTCAGAAGACACCTACAGGCTCAGCACAGTATGAGGAGTGTAAGAGGGCTTTACAAGCAGTCAGCAAGGTCAGTGGGCTCAAAGAGTCAACCTGAAATGTCATACACACGTCACTGCAGATGTCCTATTTTTATACATTTCTGTTGCACTATTCTCTCGAGAGCCTTCCCAAGTTGTTAAAGGGATGTTGTGCCTTAGATGCAGGAGGATTAGGCTTTTAATTTTGTATTTTAGTGAAGAATATGCATCAAAAACAGTTTAAGAACAGTAGATTTCTAGCCCATCTTTTACTTGATAAGAACGGGAGCACTTCAGTCACTGTGTTTAACAGATACTGTGCTTTGTGTGTGTGTGTGTGTGTATGAGCAGGTGGTAAGGAAGTGTAATGAAGGAGCTCGCACAATGGAGAGAACAGAAATGATGTACACCATCAACTCCCAGCTGGAGTTCAAGATCAAGGTATGAGCAAGGAGTAATGGATATCAGTCTGATTCACACTTGGGATGAATTGTATTTCTTGTGAAAATTACATAACTCTGGTTAACACCTGACCTGCGCAAAGTGCAAGTAATGGTGCGGCATTCTGGGGAACTCCCTGATTTGCTCTGTTATGGAGTGTTATCTGACTCTCTGCAAAAAGCAAATAAGCATATTTCTGAAAGTATCAAACTATTCCTTTAAAGCGTGTATTAATACAGTAGCCTTATGCAATCCTCCAGGGATGTGTGCACACGTGCAGATCCAGCAATACAAAGCATACAGACCACTCACTTGGCAAGAATGCGTACACATAAAGCACACAAGGCTTGGCAGGCTCAAGTGTGTCTAAGCAGTGTGGGAAAGAACTGTTAGCACATTTGGGATTCACAGATAGACAGTGAACATATTCTCAGTCTGTAATGCCAGCTGTTCACATATACACACTGTGATTTAACATTTCCTGACAGCATCTGCATTATAGATGTTTCTTAAATTTTTAATTGTGTTTATAGTCTCTTCCTACATTTTCCTTCTTCTTCTCTTCCAGCCTTTCCCACTGGTCTCATCCTCCAGGTGGATGGTGAAGAGAGGCGAGCTGACGGCCTTTGTGGAAGACAATGGCATCTTCCTCAGGCGGACAACACGGCAGCAGGTCTATTTCTTCCTCTTCAACGATGTCCTCATCGTCACCAAGAAGAAGAGGTGAGCCGGCACACTGCTAGACAGTGCAGGCGGGTTCTGGGTTTGATTGAACTGTTGTTAGCGTGCATCCTCGACGTAAAGGGTTTGCCCATAGCTCATCTGTTCTGACATGCTGATGGTGAAAGTGTAAGCATAAACCCTAGGTTTTCACTCTCTGTGAGGCTGAGATAATCCTGAGTGCAGGGACGTGACGTTGCCCACGGGGTTTAACTTGTCACGGGAATTGAGCTTGTTCAGGTGAAAAACAACTCTTGAGGTTTATGCTGAAAAGAAAGTGAAACAATCAAAATAAATGACAACAACAACAACAACTGTGTCCCAGTGTGAACGCAATATCAGCACGGTTGAGCAAGATTTTTAAGAAGTTCAGAGGGAGTGGCTGATGAACTGAGCCTCTACAACGCCCCCCCCTTTAATGGGCATGTTTATTAAGATGAACAGGTGCAGTTACTGTACCTGAACCTGCTGTGACTTGGCTTCATGAACCTGAACCTGTTTTTCTGAACGTTGTCGAGGTTTCGACATGTCCTGGGTCTATAAATCACTTGGAGTGAGGCCTACTCATTGTCAGCTCCATCTGTCACTTTGCTTCCCCACGCCTCGATTTCCTCTAGTTTGAGGCAACACCCGCAAAGCAATCCATAAGGAAGACTTCCCTGAAATGATGTGGTTTTCATTTGCATGTTTGCACTCGTGTGTCTATTTTTTGCCCAAACAGTCTTCCTCCCTCTGTCTGGAACTGATTGTCCTGCCACTTGCAGAATCATTAAGAAAAAAAAAAAAGAAACATTCTGTGTGATAGTTTTCTTTGGCATCTGATCTGGCACACCAAACTCCAGCAGTGCGCGGCGTCAGGCCTGTGTATGGAAGAGGGGTTTGGGAATGAGAGGCAGTGTGTATTTGTGTGTGTGTGTGTGTGTGTGTGTGAATGGGAGACGCTGTATTGCGGGGAGCGCTGGAGCCCTGCTGTGGCACGTTACTCTACTGCACTCCATCTGCAGTAATCAAAACAAAAACACACCAGGGGCGCACGGGGCCAGCCAGGCACCACCAGGTCAACACCCTCCCAGATGTAATGGTGTAATAGCTCTTTTCGCGGTCATTGTGACTCAGAGTGTGGGGGATAGCTTACAAGAAGCTTTTGGCTTCCTATGGTGTCTCATTTTTCGTGAGTTCCTAGGAAAACCATGAAAACCAGAAGGAAAGGGGTGAAAAAGTAAAAACCACAGTACAGAGTAGACGAAGAAAGTTACCTATGACCTTTTATAATCTTTTCAGTTTTGTAGGCCTATATTTCCTAATATGCAGGAGAAGGAGAGCACACACACGTCTGTGTGAGGTTTGGTAGGAGTTACCTAAAAATCAATTTTAAATTCTTTCTAATATTTTAATAAATCTGTATTGGTTCAACTTTGAACAATTTTCAGGTTCAAATTTCAAACTCAAACAATTAATGGAGGGACAGAATTAATTGGCCGCTATTTTGATAATTGATTAGTCGTTGATTGAAAAAAAAAAAAAAACGTTTTAGGCACAAGGAGCAAACTTTCTCCAGTGTGCGAATTTGCAGCTATGTCAGTTTCTTTGGGTTTTGCACTGCTGGTTGGATGAATGAAGACAGCTGACGACTTCACCTTAGACTCTTGGAAACATAGAAAAAAATCTGTAATTTTAATCAATTAGTTAAGAAAATAATTGTGAGGTTAATCAACAATGAAAACTGCCAAAGATCCCACCCTCGGGTTCTTCTACATTGCCCTTTGCTAATTATATAAATGGAGAGAAAGATATGTTCAGCTCTCATCTTAACAAATCTGCTTATTTTATCAACTCTTAACTGGATCCAGAATGTGATGGCTTGCGGAAACCAACCCCACGTCAGACTGGGTAGTTGTCATACAGCCAAGGAAAGGTTGCTCTGCTGAACTCATGGGAACGCTTACATAATAGTGCACTCCAGCTGGTTCCTCTCTCATCTTCACTTCCCTTCTTTTTCCGTTGTCATACTGGCCATCATCAAAACATTCAGTATTGTTGAGGTTTCCACGTCTCTTTTTTTCCCCTCTGTCCTTTCCCTTTCTTTTCCATGATCATGACCTTGTGGCTTTTTTTGTCTAAACTAGATTTGTGTAATTGCATGCAGCTCTATAATCCCAACACATTCTGGCTACATGGTAGTATTTCTTCCCTCCCTCTGTTTGTTTGACTGTGCCGTAGTCTCAACACTCTTACTTTGCACCCACACATTATACTTGTACCGTCTGTGTTTGTGTGTGTGTGTGTGTGCTGTCTCAGTATCTCTCAGAGGATTTGTGTCAGTTCTGCTTGTGTGAGGAGAACTGGCTGTGCACTGGCGAGATGGCAGCTAGCACAGTTGTGATCACGAGTGGTAGATCCCAGCACTATCTGTAACGGTGGAGTGATTTTCATACCAACGGGGTTGTGTATTTGTTCCTGTGTAAGGAGCCAAACACCAGATAGGGTTTCTCTCTCCTGTTAGTTCTGTTTTTGATGGCTTTCTCACCTTTCAACACAGGATTTCTCAAGTGTTTCCTACCTTTTATCCTGTACTTAGCAATGATCCGACACAGTAGACGATAACTATCAACACACATGAGAAAGCTTGCCCCACAAACATGCATGATTCCCCACCCATCCTATTCCCCAGTGTAATGTAAATGGCATCCCAGGCATGTTACCTTTAGCGATATCAGGAGGCAAAATGCTGATGATCCTAAAATCCAGCTAACAAAGAGATTCTTATTTTACCTCTTATAACAGCATTGCAGATTATTCTGTTTTAAGGAAAAATAAACACTAAGGTCTGAAATGCTTTCAGGTGAAAATGAATGATACTTTAAGGAACTTGTATTCCAGACAGAATGCAAACATTTACAACTCACATGGTGGTTAATTAATTAAATCGTATGGGTTTTTGTGGTTATAGGCATTATTTCATTATTAAATCGTGTTGGTTTTTGTGGTTATAGGCATTATTTCAGGGATTTTCATAGGGAAAAAGTTGTTTTAATTCTAGAAAATAACATTACATGTGCCCCTTTGGCTAAAAGGGCAATGCTGAGTTGCAAATTAAGGGGTTTACCATAACTATTGTAACATATTAAAAGTATAGGCACCGTTTAAAGTGTTTTTGAAGGAGTAGAAACTCTGTAACCCGGCCAAAAACCATTAAAATCATAGCTGAACTTTTTGTTTAACTTACTCCTGCTTCTGCAGCTTCATAATTAACAGACAAATAATAGAGTGGTATCAATCTTCTTACTTAACTCTCGGCAAGAAAGCGGTGACTTTTCCAAAACACTGGGCCTTTCTTTTAAGCATTGGTGAGCCTGATACACAGTTAGACGCAGGTTTAGTGCAAAATGTACCTTTTCCATCTCTTCCAGTCTCTGTCCTGTTCACTGCCTCTGGTTTTATCAGATTTATCTCTTCTTTCTCATTTTTTAATAAACCTAATTGGTTGTGTATAACAGGCTTTAACTTGATTGACCAGTGGACAAGAGGGGGCGAGGGAAACACTGAACTTTTCTGCCAACCATGACTGGATTTTCCAAACAGAGCTTGTGTGTGCAAGTGAAGCAGAGACAATGATTCGTGGTCAGATACACTGTTTATTGCTGTTGGTTTAACCACCACCTTATCCCTGCTTCTGTGTGTGTGTGTGTGTGTGTGTGCACCATGGATATGCTGGCTTAGAAAAGCGAGTTCCCGTCCAGTTGCTCCTGAGCTGGGCTGCTGTTTCAGCCTCAGGTTGATAAAACACAGGTGGGCTGGACCTCAGCTCCTGTTCTTCAAAACACTATGAAAACACACACGCACATTTACACGTACGCACATTCTTTCTCTCCAGGTTCAGTGCTGCTTTAGAGGTACCTTGTTTCACAGTCAGCTCCAGATGTTTCTAGCTCCCTGCACTGCTAGACACGGGGTCATGCTCTGATAACGGCAGCCATGGGAAATGTAGGCATGAACTCAAGAAACCAGCTGATTCAGTGAACAGATATGTAGACAGCTGAATGTTTGGACTGTTGACCAGCACACACTCATAATGTGACAGCCATTGTATTATTTAATCACCTGGTCTTTAGGGGTTTAATAGCTGAGGCACTAAGAAACTCAATCTCTCCTGAAAATAGTGTGTTGAGAGAGAGAGTGGACGGATGATGGAGTGGGTACGCAATAGTCAAGACATACTGTGAAGTTTGGATGTAATAATATACTGGGTTATTATACGTACTTCTCATAGACATAGATCTTTAAAACCCTAACCAGGGCTGCAAATGAGCTTATAGCTACACGCCTGCATCAGTTGCATGTGTGAGAAAGCTGCATGAGTCTCTGGAAAATAAAGTTACTAACTAAATAATTAAAATCAATAAATTGCAAAACTATTATGTTAGTTTTTTCAAGGTTTGCACATTTCATATATTTATCTTCTTTAACTTAATTAAGAAAAATAGCGTTTCCATGACAGCCATCACACTTGTTTTAACTTGTTTGACAATTGTTTTAACACTTGCTTGATTTAATACAATAGTGGAAAACCAAAGGAACACAACAGAGTGTATTGTTTTTCTAACTCCAGGTGGTGACTGGTGTCCATGTCGGGGCAGAAACGTGGAAGGCAGACTGTAATGTTTGAGTCCACACTATGCCATTTGTGGACTGGGGCTTTCAACAGACTACTACAGGAACAGAAAAGCCCAAAAAGTCATTCTAAATAGTGAAATAATATACTACTGTTTGTCTCAGTGTTTGCTACAAAAAAACTGAGAAAATGGGAGAAAAGCAGCAGAACTGATCATTATGTTTGAATATCAACCCAACAGGAATCCAAATATCTTGATATTTAGACCAGGCCTTAATGATATTTAAATAGGAGTGAAAGCGAACCTGATCAGAAAGTGAAGCTCATTCATTGTTCCTTTCTGACTGAAACCATGGTACGGATCCAAACAAGCACTCTTTCAATCACAAGTCCACTCACTTTACACGTATCAAGGTGCTTATCACCAAAAGGCCTGCCACACTTGTAAATAAATGTGATTAGATCTCAGCTGAGTGAAGAGCAGTTGCACCTTTTTTTAAGACATTAAACAAAACACTGTCTTGCTTTTTCTTTTGGTCAGCGAGGAGAGTTACACCGTGATAGACTACGCCCTGAGGGACCAGATCTGGGTGGGTTCCTGCCAACCAGAGGATCTCAACCTGTCACCGGTACGCAGCACTGCCAGCATGCTCAGCTCACGGCAGGCTGGCGGCAACCATCTTTTTCGACTGCGTTTCCGTAGCAACCACTCTGGCGAAAAGGTGCAGATGATCCTGGGGACAGAGCTGCTGTGAGTGCTTTATTTTGTAACCTTTGTCCCTCTTAATGTGCTGCTTTCATTTCGCTCGTGTTCAGGTACAGATTTACAGGACATGGTGAGTCACTTTTTCCTCTGATACAACATCACTCCTGCATCTCTCTACACACATTAATAGGCCAGGGTGCGCATGAGGGTTGATAAGGTGGTGTTTTCCTTTCAAGTAAGAAGAGTGAGTCTCATTTCATTAGTTTGTCCATCTCTGTGAGGTCCCAAACAAATTCCTGCATCCTTGTCTTTACCTTTTATGTGCCTTAACATGCTTTTAACTCCAAGTAAGAAAATCCCTTCACCCCTCTCTCCCTAGCTCTTATTTCTTAGTCTCTGTTTGGACCGTCACAGCTCACAGGGATATTTTGTTACATCTGTTCTCAAGACAAGCCTGAGCCTCACTGCTGGTGTTTATGTGACCTAGGAAATAAGTTTGCTATTGCATTATACAGCCACAATCTTCACAGTTATACTGTAACGCAAACCGGCTGTGCCAGATGATTGTTTTGTTGAGTGAGCATCTGTCTATTCTAGGAAAGCAGCTTCCTTTGTTTAAAGTCTGCTGGTTGTAGCTGAGAAGTGTTGTGTGTGTGCAGGATGAATAATTACTCACACAGCTCACCTAGAAATACACGTAGCTGAGTTGACATTCATGCTGCTTCTCTGTGTACAGCAAATACTGTCGACTGAGAGGCCAGGTTGTGTAGTCTTGACTATAACCTACACATACAACAAATCTGTCATTCGTTATGTGTTCCAGTTGGTGTTAGAGATTGCAGTCCATGTACACACCGTGATTATAATGTACTGCAGTGTTTTCACATGCACGAGGCCAGTTTCTCCTCCTTCCCCCTGTATTCTCAGGTTTTCAGCACCACTGTACAGCGCACTGCCTTTACGTGACTCTTAGTGCTTCCGAAGCCTTTCGATAGTGTTTTACTTTAGTCAAGAAATGTTCCAGATATATTTTGTGACTAGGGGTGTAAAGATTTAATCCAAAATAGTGCATATTTAGATTTTACTTTAGAACAAGTGTCACATAATTAATGTAAATTGCTAGAAGTAATAGAAAGAATGAACTCAGTGAAACCATAACCTTGCAGTTGAATTTGTCTAAGAAAATCTCTAACCTGTCCTCACGACCACAGGTTTTACTCCTTTTACAGTGGAACTTATGGAAGCACACAGATTCACAGAGGATGCACAGTGAGCTGAACTGACTCCTGCGTGCATAGTATTAGGCAGGTGGTCATAATGTTATGGCCGATCAGTGAATGCTCTTTAGTAGAAACATCACATAGAGTACATCTCTGCTGTCTGGTCCCGTCTGTTCTATGTAGCTGCTGAAAGTTAAAACCGGTTTTCTTAGTGAATAGTGGTGGGGATGACTGATAATAACTGCTATGCTGTAAAACTGGACAAGGCAGCTGTAGTAATAGTGTTAAGTGTGACTGCCTGTGTAGGAGGTGTGTAGCTGTGTAGGCATTACAGGGCCTAAATGTGCTGCTTGCTGTGCCTTCAGATCACTCAACCATAAGAGGGCCTTGTCTCTCTCCTCAGTCCAAAATGTATGGTCATGGAAAGTCCCTAGACTCCCTCCTCGGGGGCCCACAGATGAGACACTGTAATGTGTGTGTGTGTGTGTGTGTGTGTGTGTGTGTGTGTGTGTTGCGGGTGCAGCGCTCCCCTCACTGTAGTACTGAATGAGCTGATGAGAGGGGCCCTGGCAGCTGTCCATTATTGCAGTGGTTGCTAGGCATTGTTTAAGCTGTGTTGCCTAGCAACAGCCCATTGTTAAGTGGGCCGTTTCCCACGACTACCCTCTCCTCCCGCCCGACTCTTCCTCAGAGTCCTGTGTGTGATCTTTTAGATGGCAGTCGGTATCTTCTTCCAGCCATTCATCCCAGTTCAGCGATCTAACCCAACATGACACATAGGAGTGGGGCTCCATTAGCCAGCCTGCCCTGTTCCTCTGTCAGAGCTCAACAGAGCAGAGCGGACGACAAGGAATATGGAGGCTTTCTCAGAAGTTGCTGTAAGGGCGGACAGTGTCATGGAGACAACTACTAAATGTTTTCATTAGACAAGCTAATTTATATTTCTGATTACGCCTTAAGCCTAAAGTGACAGATAATAGTAAAACTGCCCATCACAAGCTCACAGAGACCCAGGCAGCATCTTCAAGTTGCTCCTTTTGATTGTGGTTGTTTAATCAAATCAAAACGTGCAATTTAAAGTAAGTGAAAAGCAGAAAATTCTCACATTTGAGAAGTGGTAATTTGCAAATGTTTGGCTTAGTAAATCACATAAACAGATTACCAAAGTGCTTGTGATTCATTTTTTTTAAAGAGTTAACTAATCGATGATTCGACAATCTAGATATTCACTTTCCAACAATAAGAACCCTAGAAAGCAGCAGTCATCCCTTTTGGGAAGTGAATGGATGTTTGTTGTTAATTTTGAATGTTTGTTAGTTTCCTTTATTATACATTATTATATTATATTCATCAGAGTGTAGAGGTCAAGTAGTGGCGTACTAACTGAAGACATACTATCAATACTTGGCCTGTGTTTTGTGATGGAACATGTGATGATGCATGTTACTAATAAAGGTCAAGCTACACTATTATGAAGCTAGTTGATTCCTACAGTACGTGTGCATGTCAGTGTTCACCAAAGTTGGGTCTGGGAGAGAAGTTACTAATTGAATAGGATGGTCAGCTGATTTTTGTCATGCCGTCACTCTTAAAAAGGCAAAGACCATAAAAAAATGCACGATGTGTCTGGAGCACGTGTGTGTCAGTGGTTCTCCACTGTTACACTAAGTGTTCTCAACCTAAAAAGAATACAGCCTGTTTGTTTTCTGTGTGGGCAAGTCTGGTTTCAGTTAGTTCTCTACCTGTGTCTTAGTTTGACTGTGTGAGGTCTAAGAAACATGCATACATCTTTGACGCGAGCGGTAATGTAATACGTCAGGAACTCGGAGAGGAGGCTGGGCTGGGAACGGCACAGGGACGCCCGTGTACCTGATCCCCCACAGTCTGTCTGTGCCCTCTTCCTTTTCTCTGCTGTGTCTTCATCATGACCTCGATGTTTTGTCCGGACCAGTCGGTGAATAGTGCTTCACTATTAGTGGAACAGAGCATTCACACAGCAGCAGGACAGTCCGGTTAGTCAGATATGCAGCTCTAACACAAAGCAGCACTGGTTATGTAACAGTGTAACACTGGTAATGCATTTCTGTTGCACACTTTGGTGTTGGCTTTTTTTAAACTGTCTGCTTTCAGTTATGTGATTTGTTTTCAGTTTTGTTACTCTGTCTGCTTTCATTTATATAAGTTGCTGATGGGAACCGTTCCCTCTGCCTGGGAGTTTCCCTGGCTGCTGTTCCGGGCAGACAGATGTCATGTTTTTGTCAGAGGAGTAGGAGTTGTACCCAAATACTGCTCTGACTTTTAAAATGAACAGGCCCCACCTATGAGACACTTTGGCCTTGGTAGTGTAACTTTAGGTGTGTTTTGGTCTGTGTTGGGCTCGGTCATGACACAACCTCGACAAATGACATTTCTAGTTTCCCAATTGTCTGTGGAGAGCATGTAGGCTCCACCGTGAACTACAACAGCTATTTTTTATTATGTTGCAGTGGAAGAGATGAAACGGTGGTTTGGTGGTGATTTTAAGGTGGCAGAGGGAGGACAGCTAGAAACAGGTTGAGCACAGCAGTGCGGCAGAGACCTCTCCTCTTTTCAGAGGTAATAAAAGAACCCGACAGTGGACTTTCACTTGGGTTCTTTGCACTCCCTTACTCTTTAGGATGAATGGTTAGAGGCAGAGGGAGCAATCCTGCACAGGCCTGCAGTCATCTGGAGGGGAAGCACCTGCTGTTTGTGCATATGCAGAATTCACATGTCTGCATGTAGCACACACACACACAATTACCTGAATCTTCATTTAGCACATGCCTCACATTCGCATCTGTGCTGCATTCGCGCCTGTGCTCATTATTAATGAGTACATGCACATTCTTAAAATGTGAGAAGGCAAGTGTTCATGACAGTGTGCACATGTTTAACATGCATCTGACCTTGGGCGTGTGCGTCCAGCTGTCGAGAGCAATGACTAACAGCTGCTTTTCCCATAGAGAAGTACAGAAAAGCAGCCAGGTCCTTTATCAAAGCACAGTTTCTCTTGAATTTGCGTAATATTTAGTCAAGTTCATATCATTTATCTCATGTATGTTTGTTGTTGAGGGATGTCCCATCTATTAGTTACCACACTTTCAGCCTGTAAAGTGGGCAGGAAAAACTGGAAAAGGTGACCAATCAAGCTATTAATGCAATAAACCAATACATTTAAACATAATGATATCACTTGACCAGTATGTGATTATTCCCCACCTAGACTATGACCCAAAGGAAAATGGTAGTGGAGCTATTGAACATATCTAAAGGCACCAAAGCAGCAAGACTGTAAAATGTATCATTTCAATTCCAAAGGTTATCGTATGCCACTCCTACTACTGCATTGTGGGTACATGTAGATGGCCTCTGACATGGCGGATTTGGTGGTTATAAGGGTTTCCAGTGATTTCATACCATCCACTCAGCAGTTGACCCAGGATTTTACCACTTGTGTCCCTAAAGGCATCAGAGCAGTGTGTGTACAGCAGGAACAATGTACTGAGGTCTGACTCATGGGACTTGCCTGTTTGTGTAACCACACAAATACTGCTCAGTCTGGGATTTAATTCTGTGCATGTTGGACCCATCAGCATGATGCAGGCCAGTGGCACTGAGTCAGCGAAGGCCTCAGCACCCCGGTTCTCTCCTGAACTCCCCCCTTCTCTCTCCCTCTCTTGCTCTTTCTAAATGTCCCCATCTCTGATTTCACCTGTTCTAATCTACTACTGAATGGAGGGATGGAGAGTAGAGTTTCTTGGAATCTGAACTCTGACCCCACCCACTGTTTTTTCTTCCCATGAAGAAAGAGAGAGAGAGAGAGAGAGAGAGAGAGAGAGAGAAAGCAGGTCTGTCCCTTCCTGAGAATCAGCCTTTTTTTCTGGTTCTCATTTCTCAGACTGAACACACACCTGTGTTCTCTCACTGATGGGACAGAGGGGAGGGAGGGAAGGCAAAACTTGCTGGGCAACTATATCATCTACATACCTTCCTCAGTAGACTCAAAGTCAAGTCAAAGAGTTTATTTGTCATATACACAGTTAGGAAACGTGTTTCCCTGTGCAATGAAATTCTTGTCAGCTTGTGTGCATGCCAGCCTGGATGTATTTGCTCTCACTTGGTGTTGATTCTGACCGTCCTTGGTGCTGTATGTTCTCAGAAGCAGCTGTGCTAGAGCATTTGCCACATCTGTCATACAGAATCAAAACAAGCAACACTCATATTTGGGGAGTTGTTCAGCTGATACAGCTCTCTATAGTTTTCAGAACTCTTTAAGTGCCAGAACAGTTTATCAAATTGTTCACACGGTGTTAATGCATGTTGACAGGAATGAGCGTGCTCGATGGATCAGTGCCTTGGGCCAGAACAACGACAACAAAAAGAGTCAGGATAGAACAAGTAAGTTGTGCACAAACACACCACACAGCTCCTCCACTTCTTCTTTTGGCCCATTGCACCACCTTGTGGCTGTTTGACATTTTTCTTTTTCTGATTGATTTAAAATTAATTGGCTTGTTCATTCAGACATACTGAGACAAGACAACCGTAATTTAAATTATGAAGTGGTTTGTTTGTTTGTTGTTTTAGATGTAATGCAGGTGGAGGTGATCAGAACATACACAGCCAAGCAGCCAGATGAGTTGTCCCTGCAGGTGGCTGATGTGGTGCTGGTCTCACAGACTGTAGAAGGTACGTTGGCTCTCAGTGCCTGTTTTCACTTTATCGCTCAGTCTTGTTCTCTTGCTGTTTGCACATTCTTTAGCACGAATCTCATCTCCCACCTTCTCTTCTCAAGGGCATCTTTTCATCATGCATTTTTGTATGTGCTCCTTCTCTTTCACTACCTATCTTTTTCACATAACAGACCAGGAACCTGTTTGATAGCGTGCTTTTAAATCTACACACAGACGGTTAGGGTTATAGGCCATTTCCCATTTGGTGACCATAGCAACCGTCTTTCGTGTTAAAAGAACAGACAGTGTTGGGCATCAAAAAGCAGAGTGATGCATGATTGTTTTCATTTATCTGTACCACTTCTCCTCTCAGGCTGGTATGAAGGACAGCGTCTCCGCGACGGAGAAAGGGGGTGGTTCACGGCTGAGTGTGCTGAACCAATCACGTGCCAGGCCACCATTGAGCGTAATATGCAGAGGATGGACCGCCTGCAGGGGCTGGAGACTAACGTGTGAGTTGGAGGAGCCAGCTCCCTAAAACGACAGAGGGTTTTCCTCAGCTGTTGGTGACCTGTTGACACACCAGTGAACCCGGACAAATGAGTTCAATAACAGCATTAGTGACCTCCCATGTGGATTAGTGTCAAAACCTGACCCTCCACTGTGGGAGGAGGGTGAAGCCATAGTCTGGACTGCAGACTGTCTACTAAGTGCCAGGCACACCGTGTGCGAGCCGAAGCTTAGAGCAAACATAGTGGAAGAAGAGATCTCAAGCTCATCCCTGTGTGGGTGGGATGGTTTCACAACTGTCACATTCATTAATTCCCCGGTTGGTTAGAAAACTTCACACCCACAGCCAAAGTCCCTGTTATCAGGACCCTGCTACATAACAAATCTTGGTGTGAAAATTTGTAAATTATGTTGACATATTTAGTGAGTACAAGTGATGTACAATGTAAAAAATAGAGACTACATCACCGCCATCGAAGGTCAAGTTGCCCGAATAGCGTGAACAAGACAGCAGCCTGATGTCTGCCTTGTTGACGAGGCTCGGGCCATGTGATTAGCTTTATGAGTAACAATGCAACTATTAAGATGTTGACTGTGAAAGAGGGTGTGATTGGCAGCTTCTGTACAGTGTGTGGGTTACTGCAGAAACTCTGGTGGCGAGTGAAACTACTACAATATTCACTGCACAATCCAGTATGGTGGATGCAAAAACAAAAAGTGTGCTACTTGTCTGAAGCTGAAGGCACTTTCTGTAAATAAGTCATGATTAATTGAATAATATTAAGAATTAAAGTCATTTGGGAGGCACACCCTCATCTGTCATCCAAGGGTTAAGCAGACAAGCCATGTTTCTGTGTTCTACTGTGCTGTCACCAGTTAATGTCACTGTCATGAATCACACACTGATTTTCTGTCACAAATGCCATTATTTTCTCCTGAAATATCTCTCTCTCTCTCTCACACACAAAAAACTTGATGCCAGCCAGGTGTTTATAAATAACTCCTCTGATTTCTGTTACAGAGGCAAGCCAAAATTGTGTGTGTAGATGGTGACACAAGTGGCCCTGCCTGACCCTGCTTTTAATGTGATTGTCCAGTGAGTCTTCTGGTTTTAGTGTTGCCGTGCTCAGCTAAATGAAACCAATGGCTTGGCTGGGATGTGGTGATAACATCATCTGTCAGGCCCACTACTCTGGCCCCAGCCCAAATGACAACCACAATTGCTGAGCTACACAAAGCGAGGCATGATGTGAGCGGGTGAAGCATCCTCAGGAAGGACATGTGTATATGAAGCATTGCCACTCAGGGAACAGCAGCTAGGTGATACCACATCTAAGCAAATGATCTTTATTTCAACCACTTCCTATACTTGTAACTATTGTAAATTATCTGTAAATATGTAAAGCAGGTTGCATTGTAACATGTATACTGTAGAATTGTACTGCTGAAACCTGCTTAGTCACCATTATATATTGTAATCAGCCATTATTAATAAAAGCTTAATTGCTTTGCAGCCTGTCATATATTGTCAATGATCCTGCTGTATGTCATCCCTTTTCCCTGAGGACCACTGACAGCCCAAAGAAAATGACTCCACTTTCATTCCCTCAGTGTCATTTGGAACGATAAATTAGCCGTGTGCTCTCTGGACATTAAGTGAAGATTAATCAGATCTGTGCACATGTCCTCGGGGAGCAGCGCCTTCTCACATACTGATGAGCTGTGGGCCGCTGAAGGTTAGAAACTGTGCAGGTGTTCGTTCAGGTTGTTGTAATGCTTGGCCTTTCACAGCTTGGAAAGCATAGTGTTTGCCCAACACAGAACAGAGTATGTTCTCCCACCAAAAAGCTAGAAATATCTGGAGTATCACTCACTTTGTTTTGGAATTTAAAAACCTTTTGGAAAACCTAAGATAAAGCCAAACAAGGAGTTTTATGGTACATTATTTATTGCACAGTCCATGAAGTGAAAAAACAAGTGTTATCCAAATCAAGTATACAACAAACAAAATAACTAGTGAGTAAACTTAAGTATGGACTGGTGCTTGCAAAATTGGGACCAAATAAATAAATTCAAGTGCATTTTCCATTAGTCTTGTATTTCATAGGGAGCGCTAACATTTCAACCAAGCTGCACCATCGAGGAGGCCATATGCCAACTAACCTCTGCGTCTGGAGATGCAGTCCGTTACTTCTCTTCACAGCCAGGACAAAACTTAGTGACTAGTCATCTTCGTCATCATCATCATCGTCAAAATAAAAGTATTGTCCCCTTGGGGCAGGCGGCCATCTTCTGTCACGGCCCTTGGTGCTGCCTGTAGGCGTCTCCTGGGTGGTGATTAGGTCTATTATGGCTGTGATGACAGCACAGTCTTTAGACTGACGGTTCTGCCAGTCCACAGGAGCTGGGTTACGGATCTTCTCCTCCAGCAGAGAATCCAGTGCCGTCTTTAAATTCTGAGGAAACACAGGGCAAGAGAATGTACTGAAATTAATCTCAGCGAGACTCTGATTAGCTGGTGTGTGTTAGTCGCTTACCTTGACGAGGTGAGCGATGCGTGCCGGGGACTGGAAGATGATCCACTGGTCCACTGCAATTGTGTCCTGGTCCCCGTCTTTCTGGATGGTGATGTCTCCTCCAAAGAACAGCAGTGAGAACGGCGACACCTCAGTGCAGTCGTACAGGAAGATCTGAGGACACGCAGAAAGATGTCGCTGTCACACCATGACAAGAGTACTACCATAAACACACTAAAGCACTCTGTGACGGGGAGCTCATCATTATGACACACTGTGCCCAACAGCTATTCTGTGGTGTGGGCTGGAAGTGTCCCATTAGTCAGGAGAGGCTGTGTGAGTTTGAAATGTGTTTCTGTGCCTCCAGTGTTAGAAGAAATGTCATTGTGCCCCGTCTGTGAATCTCACTAATGTGTTACGCTCCTTTCCATCCACGTTTCTCCCTGTGCTAAACTGACGGCTGCTTATATGGAGTAAAAACCAAATGACAAAGTAAAAATTTCTTGCATATTACTGAAAACTCTGAAGACCAAACACAAACACAACCTCATACAGCTTTGGAGGTTAAGAGACGGACATTTTAGAAATTGTCAGAGAGGAATAAAGAAAGCTAGCGAGAGGGCGTAGGAAACAAGACAAAGACAAACAGAGAAGGAGCAGAGACAACTGCATTTGCTCCACACATGTAACATATCGAATCATCTTTTTCCTTCTACGGTGCGGGTCGTCTTTCTTCTCTCTCCATAAACAAATGACCTTGACAATCCTGCGCACCTCTCCTATACAGCAGACAGATGGATAACCTTGTGTACAAAATCACTTACGCACCGCAATAGAAATCATTTAACAGAGGCAATGTTGAAACCCAGCAAACGCTTTCTTCATAACGTCAAAGGCGCACGACAGTCAGAGGACATGAAAGGTGCTTTTTTTGGCAGAACAGTTAACATTCACAAAGAGAGACAGCAGAGAAAGAACAAAGACGACTAGGTGGAAAGGAGGGGAAAATAAAGAGCGTGAAGAGGGTCACAAAAAGAGGGAGACGAGGGAGGGTGGCATTGATCGTTGCAACCCTCCCCCACACCATCACCTCTTACACTGTGTCTGGAAGCTTTGAAGCATAGAGCCTTTGAGAAAGAGTTGAAAGGCAGTGTTTTAATCAAATATTCATTCAGTGTAAAGCTGACATGGCACCACTTCCAACAGGTCCTTCTTTCCACCGGCGCAGCCTTTACGCATACAAAACAAACAGCAACATGCGCTCATATGCAAATAGGCATCATTCATACAGCAGTTGCTGAAACACAGAGTAATGTGTTCCCGTGCCACTACTCACACTGCTTGTTTTCATCTTGAGGTGGTAGATGAGCCACGTGTAGTTGAACTGCGTCTCTTCAGCATTGACAGATTTCGGGTGGATACACACCTTTCCGTCGGCCTGAGTGTACACCTTAACCCTGAGAAAGACGAGATGTGCATGTGTTGGGGGTAGGTATACTGGTAAAAGTCACGTGTCAAACACCTGGTAAAAGAAAAACACTGGCTTTTTATTGCCATCATAAAGGGAAATGTCACAGCTGTTTTGTCAGGACACCAAAGGAGAAAGAAAACTCCCCTGACCAAACATGATACTTCAGTTTTGTGGAAAGGATCTGCTGAACATGTACAGTGATCAATTGGCTGACAGAAAATTTATGAGCAGTGATTCTGATGATTAATAAATAATCTGATTCAAGTTTTAAGCAGAATTCCAACCATCAGCTTTCATCCTCTGCCCACACAAAAGATTTAGAAGTTGATATATTTGACCCTAAGAAACTTCTAATGGGCATTTTCTAACAACTGTCTGACATTTTATGGACTAAATAATGAATCAAAAAAAGTATAAATTAATGGTCAATAAAAACTGAATGTTCGCTGTGATCGCTGGTTGAGCGATGATGTCAGGAAATGCCGTGGAGCTGTGGTGCGGTCAAGTGAAAACTGATAACTTGCTTGGCATCAAAACTGTTGAGAATTACTTATGCAGAGGAAATGACCCTGACAGTTTCGCTGTACAACTGGCTCTAAAGCTGTCACTGAGACAGACAAACAAAAGTGACATGCAACTGTGAGAGTGTGCGTCTCCCTGTTGCGTGCATCTGTCTGTTGCGCACCAGTCACAGCCTCTGCTTGTGACAGCTGCCCTAGGGCCGTTTTTTCATGACTGCATTGATCTTCAGCTAGAAAAGAAAAAAAAAAAGAGCCCGTTTTTGACAATCATCCTAACATGGCCCCTGCACAGCCTCAGGTAACTGTCACAGGACCCTTACAGAAGTCTCACCACAGAGGTCTGTTGAGACACTGCAGGGAGGTTTTCTGTCTGGAGATCAGTAACAATGACTGTGTGCTTTGCTATCTTGTGCGCTGCAGTCCATTCCTGTCTGTCACTGCTGGTTTCCCGCTTTGAAATGACAGACTCACCCTGGCCTCTTCTTGCTGTGAGACGGTCTGATCATGGCCACCTTCGGGTACAGGCCAGCAACAATCACTGCTTTGATTAACTTCTCATTGTCTGAGGAAGGAAGTGAGAAAGAAAAAAATGAGCACTGCTACACTTAAATGCAGTAAATCGGTTTTTATTGCTTCTCCACAGCCTTGTTATAAGATTTGGGAAAATTAAGGTTTTCTGACAGCTGAATCACAACCAACAATGTCCTGAGTTACCCGAGTTCACATTGGATGCAGGGTCTTTGGGATCCCTGCTGCTGACAAAGCCTGTGTGCATTAGGTGTTCAGCAAACTGACCCTTCATGTTGTGCAGCATCTGAATAATAAAAAGACAAATTACTTCTAAAAAGCCTGCCATGTCCTTATCTTCCCAGGCTGAAGTCACACTCAAATGTTAATCATGGACTGCCCCCAGGTTACCTGAAGTGTGTTGGCAGACAGGAAGTTGTCCCAACAGAACTCCCTCTCATACTTGGCACCACGGTGTTTTGCTTCCTCCCAGCCCTGGACAATGAGTGGATGATAAATTAAGATGAGATGAATTCATACAACAGACTGAAATGGAAAGAAAACTGGCAGATGTGGGGTGTTTTACCTGGAAGGCATTGACAATAGTGAGGTGGTCACTCTTGGAGTTTCTGGACAGGGTCTTTCTCCTCATATCTGCCATCTTCTCTTTACCCTGACAGAAGGAACATTTCCTGTAAGAACTACTTAGCGAAAAATGTAGAGCGCAACAATGTTTTGAAGTGAACATGTGTAGCTGCTGCCCAAAGCTTTTATGCCTGTGAACTCAGCCCTACCAGTGGTATGAAAAAAGGGTCTTTGAAGCTGAGTGAAGCAGCAATGGTGAGTACGGGGTCGAGGCAGCCCAGCAGAGCCCCGAACAGGATCAGCTTGCCGATGTGAGGCTCCACGGGCAGACGAGCCAGGTGGAAACCCAGCGCTGTCAGATTCTCTGAATGGTCCAGGGCGTTCTAACACACAACATTGTCACAAACAAAATGCACACATTGTCATCTTGGGCACACTGCTTTGTGGAACCGCTTCTTCAACTGATTTTCAGCGTGTTTTAACCTTGGTAGCACACACAGCATTCCTCATGATTTCCCTGCTTAGCCCTTGTTGTAAGTACTTGTTCTCACCAGTTCTCACCAATTCCCCCCCTTCAGCTATATTACTGAATTATAGACTTTCACCTTTAATTCAAGGGATTTCACATAAATACTGCATTAACTGTTGAGAAATTACAGCCATTTTTATACACAGTCCCCCATTTTAAATGCTCCTTACTCTTTCTTACCAGCTCTAAAAGGTTCTTGATGGCTAGATTGACAGCCTTTTCAGTGGGAGGGTCCAGGGCTTTCTTCAGGAATCGATCTATAGACCCAAGGTTCAATATCTAGGCAACAAACATTATTAAAAGCAGGTTATTATTCTTGCGTTACATTTCATTCACAGAGAAGGGATTTATTATCTATCTGTGGCAAACACTGAATTACTGTGCGGGCACCACGCAGACACGTCTACTACCATTTATGTGCAGCTTCTTCCAACAAGCACACTGTTCGAGGCATGGTTTGCTCATATTGCTGTTTAGAAGACGTATGTGACAAAACAACCAACACTGAGTAAATTTAACCATATTAACATGCTTTAAGTGTCAGGCTGAATAACTGTGATAATAAGAGCCAATCCTAAGAATATCCACCTTCATGTTTACATCAAAAAGAGATTTTTAAATACAACAAACATCTTCCTGAACAAACTGAAGAGTAAAGAAGCGTATTTCTGTGTCTGACTAATGCAATGGTGTTGGAGTGTTTGTGCATTAGAGAGTCTGCTCAGGGTTAGCATGTTGCCACTGTTTCTCTCACTTTAAGCCCAGTCTGATGCATTAGTCCGCCTCTCACCCACTAGCTTCAAAAACCACATTACACACATACTCAAACGCATCCAACTGATGTAGTGGAAGACGCACTCAAATGCACATCCAATAAAGCTACTGGTGAGAACAATCATTGCAAACACTAAATCTGAGTGAACTTTGGCTTAATGTTCCATTAGCAATGGTTGAAATATGTCTGGGTGGAGTTTGAGGATTTAAAGAGTGAGAGAGAGAAAAGCGTATGCAACCAAAGAAGAAGAGCAATTAAAGCATGGGAGGCACGAGTCAACTCAGGGCGTTCATTCCTAGTTCTCATTAAGCAAAAGAGGCTGTAATTCAACGTAAGAGTGAAAACAGCAGCGCTGGCTGACCTCATGCCCCCAGGCAGTTTGAAAACTCATTCACAGCAATGTTGTCCTCATCTCTGTCAGTCTGTCTCACTCTCTCTTTACATACACAACCTTGATCTGCAGGCAGAGCTCCTCCAGTGGTGTCCTCATAATTTCAGGTAACTGATAGGCATCCAGCAGACTGGCCCTGAGACCATTGTACAGGTGATAGCACTTCCCTGGACACACTCTGGAAATGTGCAGACATGAAGAGAGTTGGGGGGGGTTGTGCGTTATATCAGTCCTCTGACAAAGGCTTAATTTAAAATCAATGGGAGGAAACCGCACACAGTAAGGAGCTCGGCTAATTGGTCCTTGCTCCACTTCAATGTCAGAACTAACAAAGCAGACGTCTAGAGTCACGGCCTGGAAACAACCTGGGAATGACTACGCTTTGCCTTTCTCCGTGTTTACAGATGGGAAGGCAGGGAGGAGCGGGCTGATGGGGAAAATGACAACGAGCTGTGATGACAAATAGGAGGGAGAATAAGCCTCCCAGTTTAGTATGACATACCGACAGGCAGCTTGCCCTTATTATAAATACATCTACATAAATCTATATGCAGACACACACACACCTGCCAGCACGCCCTCTCCTCTGTTTGGCATTGGCCAGGCTGACCCACTCAGCTGCCATAGTGCTGATGTTGTTGTTCACGTCAAAGTGGGTCTCCTTTATCTTCCCCCCATCTATCACATAAACAATGTCATCTATGGTGATGCTGTGAGGAAGAGAGAAAAGAGCAAATTAGACAGAAAAACACTTCACAGCAGTCTGTCAAGAATGCTCACAGTAGCTAATAACTCACACACAATCATCGAAAAGTAAAAATATATTTTAGCCCTTTGGTAGATTTAGAGTCTATATTTAGTGGAGTGATGTGAGGGGAGTGCAGGCAGCTTCTTAATTTTACACAGTTTGTGTGTTTTAGGCTCTGTGAATGCATAAACAAACTGTCTGTCAGAGATAGTGTGTGTTCCTCCCAAGCCAATATGACAAGAAGCATATTCTAATTAACTCGAAATCTCCCGTTTCCATTAATGACAGTGGACCTACTGCGTTACATCTGTTCACAAAACCACACAAGTACACATTGAATGACACAGAGTCGCTACCTCTTTTCTTGATTCCCAAGCTTCCACAAAACATGATGGCCAAAAAATACATTTCCAAAGGGATAAGTCACAAAGGCTGGACAAGCCCATCAACACACACACACACACACACACACACACACATACCTGGTTTCCGCTATATTGGTCGCTATCACAATCTTTCTAACTCCAGCAGGTGGTCTTTTGAACACCTGAGAAGTGTGAGAGAGACAGATGAGATTGGACTCTTCAGATACTGAAAAGGGAATGAAGAACAACAATCAGCAGACACAGTCTGAGGGACAGGCAAAGAGAGAAACAGTAGAATGCTGACCTGTGTCTGATTAACAGTAGGCATGAGGGAGTGCAAAGGGATGATAACGAACCGGTCTGAAACACAGCAGGACACAAAACAAAGCTCAAAGGGCAGTCTGCACACATAACACACAAACACTGAGAATACAGTATTTATTATTTACTTTGACACAAAAATGAATAAAAGTATCTCCACATAGAAAATGCTGTTATATTAAATGTGAAGGTTGCCTTTGTTTAGGAACCAGAGGCGCTTTAACCAAAGTCTGCTCAAATGAATTGGCTCTGGTCAGAGTTTACCAGTGTTTTATGATACCGATGGTTTTATACACCAGAGCAGCAACTCCAAACACAAAGCATATGACTGTTATTAAATTAAAACAAATAATTTACAGCCCTGGAAGAGTGTGTGAACCCACCTCGAGCCAAACGCTATTGATTAATTACAAAAAACATTCAATAAATACAAACATCACCTGCAGCCAGTTTTTGGACACATAAATAAACGCTACTTGGAATATTAATTTATGTCTGATCTTTTAAAAAATAAATAAATAAATTCTTATCCAGTAGACACAAAAAGTCTCACTGCATGTTCCATCATTAGTGGATGTGCACTGGAGGTTTTAAGTCTCCACGTCACACTGCTAGGGCTGTGACTAATGAATATTTTCATTCTTGATTAAGCTGGCGAATATTTTCTGGATTAATCATTTAATTGACAGATCTATAAAGCGTTAAATAACGAACATTGTCCATCACAGTTATCTAAGAGCCAATTAATGAATTGTTTCAACTGATCGTTGCAGTCAATCTGTTTTAAGTAATTTCTCAAGTAATCAATTGTTCATTTAGTTAACAAATGTTTAAAAAGCCATTCTGTCAGACCAACAATCTAAAACTTAAAGATAATGAACTGGACTGGACTCAGAACTAGTCTGATGACACAATCTTCTCGTGTGCGTGTGCGTGTGCGTGTGTGTGTGTGTGTGTGTACCTGATCAGAACATCTGCTGAGCCATGAGCAAGTCATTGAGACTGCTGATGTTGTCCCAGCCAGGCAGGAACACCAAGATGGCTCCTTCCTGTGAGACAAAGACATGACACTTCGCAGCTGAAAGACACACAAAAGCGGCAGCGTTTCTAGAACAAAACAAAAACTGACAACAGAAACAAGCAGCCATTAGCCAGAGGAGCTTCAGCATCAACTGAGCCAAACAAACAGGGTGCCCGTGTCCTCAGAGGAGCCGGGCTCAGGCAGATGGGGATGACATGCCCTCAGCTTCCAGCCTCCACAATCAGCCACACAATAGTCCCTGACACTCACTGCCAACATCATTAAAACAGCATCTTCCCACTCCAGAGCAGCCTCTGCTTCATTACCACAATGCGGCAGCAAGAAAATAAAGAAAGAAAACCAATTAAGTCACCTGGAAAATATAAAGACTCGCAAACACAAGCTGGGAAAACATCAGCAGGATAACAGATGATGATGGCTAATAGAGATGGAAGTGTTCCAATGTGAGCAAATCTCTGTCCATTCATTCTCTGTACTGTTGGAAAAAGGCTGGCCACTAACAGAGAGCTGTGCAAAAGGCTTAGGCCACAATTAGCTCTGCTGTTTTAGCAAGGTTGTAATGATAATTTATATTTATTTCTCAGTCTCTTTATTAAGATATGCCCAGAAAACACAGAGAATATATACACTCTAATAAAAAACAACATTTCCAGAACAAAGTGACTTCTGCAGTCCAAAGTCAGTATCTAGTGTGACCTCCCTTTGCACTCAGCACAGCCTGAACTCTTTTGGGGAGACTTTGTTATAGTCTTGAAACCATGACAGACCCTCCACCATGTTTCACTGAAGGCTGCTACTCTCATTCTTCCACCTCTTCTTCTCACATACTGTCAACAACCAGACCCAAACATTTCAAATTTCCATTCATCGCTCCATAATCCTCTTTTCCACTGATCTTCACTCCAATTTTTGTGAGCATTTTCTCCCTGTTCCCCTTCTGAACTAGTGGTTTCTTGGCTGCTGTCCTTCCACAAAGGCCGGTCCTGATCAAGCTTCTTCAGACTGTGGAAGTATCAGCCTGGCATCCAGATGAAGCTGCCAGATGCTGAGCCAGGTCCTTGCTGGATTTCCTCCGGTCTCTCAAAGGAGAAACTCTGAGAACCTTCTCATCCAATTTGGACAGTTTTCTTGGTCTTTCACTCCTGTCTGTGTCCTTAACCTCTCCAGATTACATTAGAACAGCTTGAATACTACATCTGGAGTATCCAGTTGGTTTGCTGATGTTTTTCTGACATTTTAATATTGTGCACGTATTTCCTATAATTTCTAGTTGTATTCTGATCAATAAATATGTATAGTCATCATAACACTGCTAAACCATGCTTTTCTATAAACCTTCACTTAATAAAATGCTAAAACTGTCAATGTGTCTAATGTTTTCTAATGTTGTCTGAAGCCGCCATAAATAAACTGTCTAAAATTAACAATGCTTCTAATTTCCTCAATCAGGGCAAGAACCATCTGATCAAAGAATAAATAAAAAGTAAAGATGATAAAAATTCTACTTCTATGTTATCCTCAATTGGGAAAGAATTCTGGACATGCTATTTCATGACACCAAAGACCTAAATTTAAACATAAATGATTCTCAGGATAATATGAAGCTGAAATAATATAACCCACACTTAAAAAAAAAAAAAAAAGGCTCTACTATTCATTTCCTGAGAGGTACGAAAGGGAGATGAAGAGCAGACATAAAAGGCAGCTTCTGGGCCCCGAGCACCTCAGCCTTTTAATTAAAGCTAATTATTATTACCACTGGCTCGTACATGGGACTATACATGTCTGTGTATCGTCTCTGCATGTGTACATGTGAAAGAGGAGGAGGCGGAGAGAGATGCAGGCAGAGTGCAACCTGACAGAAACATGTTCTCATACACACACACACACACACACACACACACCATAAAAAAATCCATTAGGCCTACAATTTCATATGAACACACCCCAAACCGCCCACTTATACACACACACACACACACACACACACACACACAGTTGTGCTCAGCAGGCATACATTAATGTCAGCATGTCAGGCCCCTAGGTGTCTAATCACAGACCCCTCCAACAGTAATTAACCAATCGTCACAGTCAAAAGCCTGGAGGTCGGCCCGTATCCTCATTCAGAACGGTGTCACAGCGAATCAGCTGGTTCTCCCTCAGCTGTTTGACAGCCCCATGGAGAAGCAGCCAGTTGACTGACTCAGGGTGGCCATGACTGACAGAGATACAGCTTCACAGGGAAGGGGGTAATTATTCTGTCCGTGTGAGTTCGTCACTCCTCATTCTGGGCCTGTTCCTCTCTTGTATACATTTTCCACAAACCAACATAAATAAGTTTAGCTAGTTCCACTTGACCTGGAAAAATAGTCATAGTGGAAGCAGTTTGTCCTCACCCTCACTGTTCTCTAGATACTAATAACAGGCTACGCAATACAATAGTAGTGTTTGTGACAGGGTTGCTGCCCATGTTGGCACCGGCCTATATGACTCTGTGATTAAAAATGAATGAAAAACCACACACAAAAAAAAAAAAATCATGCTGCAAGTACAAATTTGAACAGAGAGGTGACTGAAGCAGTGACTCTTGTGGATTCTACACCACTGTTGTCTACAGCCTAATGTCTATCTGTATGTTTCTGGGTCTACTGAAGAAGGCAAACATTCACCAAAAATCATCATATCATTCATATGACGCTGCAGCTTGATGTGGCAAAAGTCTGAACTGAAATGATGGCGACATAATAATTAGAAAACTGAACAAGACCTGGAAAGAGAAAAAAGGGAACGGCCGTGCACTGTGAGAGCATCTGCTCGATCACTCATTAGCACAGATCTGCTGCCAGGATCTGTTCTCTCCTCTGATCTAATGTCGCGCTGCGTTTGGAAGTCAGCCCTCATGTTCCTCCCATCTGCTCTAAATAGGAGTGCACTGTACTTCTCTTCTTTTGTTAATAACTGAACTGACACCGTCTTCCACTGGAACTGGTGTTCTCTCTGCCTGTCTAGGACCAAAGTGTTGGGAGTTTTTTTTAAGTCTAAAAACATAAATCTAAGAAAAAGAAAACTTCATTAAAAATCCAGTTTAAGACATCAGTGTTTGGCCACTTTCCAATGTCCGCCCTGGCCTCATACACAGGTGAGCTCACCTCCTCGTTGAGCACTATGTGACGGATCAGTGCCACGATCAGCTCCAGGTCAATCTTGTCATCACTGTCTAACATCTCCAGTGCTGCAATGGTGCTGTCAGAGTATCTGTAAAACACAACAATTAGACAAATTATTGAATAACCGACTCTCCTCCATGCTTTCACATAGCAACAAACTATTCCCACGTTTCCAATTGGCCTTTTCCTGAGTCAAACCTGGTGATGGCTGCAAGACATTTATACATCTTTTGCTTTTGCATAAAAGACAATAAAATGTTTAAATCATACTTGATAAATGTTTTGATAGCTTTACTTGTATTGGTGATCTTGACATCAGCTCCTACTAAAGAAATATTCTCTTTATTTCTGGCAACTAACGCTCAAGTTTAAAAATTATTTAGTCACAGACATGAAAGTTTCAAATATGGGAACTCTTTCTTGGGCACGAATAATGATAGCAAAAAAAAAGAGAAGCGGGACTACAAACAGCTGTACCACATGAAGAAGAATGTTTGTGGCGTGTTACTGAGAAGAGCATAACATCTCAGGATGAGCTGGGCCGCTCAGAAACGTTGAAGCAACTGCAGGAAGGAGAAGTGGAGCACAAAGATTCAGTGAGTACAAAGTGGCAAAAGTCAGTCAGTTACAGTTGTTGGAGGGTTTGTGTTACTTCCAGTGCTGGAAGAAGTAGTCAGATCATATACTTAAGTAAAGGCAACAGTACAACAGTGTAAAACACTTTGTTACAAGTAAAAGTCCTGCAGTCAAAATGTTACTCAAGTACAAAAAGAACCAAACCATACTTAAAGTACTAAAAGTAAAAGTACTCATGCAGAATGGCACATTTCACATTCCTGTATATCATATTGTTGTTATAATTATTGATGCATTATTGTGCACATCACATTTTATGTTGCAGCTGATAGAGTGGGAGCTACTTTCATTTGAATGACTGCTGTGTAGCTTGTGAAATTTCCACCAGGGATCAATAAAGTCCTATAATCATACTGTATTTTCTGTATTAATCCGACTGAGAAGTAACTAAAGTTACAAAATAAATGTAGTGGATTAAAAAGTACAACATTTGCCTCTAAAATGTAGTGACTTTGAAGTATGAAGTAGCATGGAATGAAAATACTAAAGCACAGACACCTCAAATCTGTACTGAAGCACAGTACTTGAGTAAATGCACTTAGTTACTTTCCACCACTGGTAACTTCTGCATGCAGTTATATTTCTGAAGTGGAGCCACCTATTGCGTAGGTATAAGTCAGTGTTTATGTGGCAAAGCACTGTTCAACATCAGTCTAACCAAATCTCTTTGTATTCAGCTTTTCTACACTCAGGTTGTCACAACGTCAAACCCTCCCATTTCCCACCTAAACCACACATCGATCAACCTGGCAACTGCTCTGCCAATCTCATTACTACTGCTGTTCTCACAAATCTCACCTGCCCTGCGCTGTGCGTGCATAACTAGGCCAGCTCTGCTTGTATTCAGCCTCTTTCTCCTCCTTCTCAGGTCTGGAGTGGTGCCCCTGCCAAAAGCCTCTCTTCCATGAGGGGCGACGGCCCTGATTCTGGGGACGATACCTGGCAGACAGACACCAACCAGTTTAGACACGACCGCATAAAAATGATTTAATGACCACATTTTTTGTGTCTGTGCATATTAGGGTGTGACCGTCCTTGATGTTCTACCTGGTCATCTCTATAATGTCCTCAAGTAGGAACTCTTCCACTGGGAAGGTCAACCCGGGGATGTGGATCACTGGACAGTTGTCTGAGGGGAGGTTGACAGAGGGAGAGATGTGGATGAGAAAGGGGAACTATCTAAACCAGTTAAACTATGACACTGCTGGTGAACAAACTTGTGTGTCATGGTGATGGGCAGCATACCAAAATAAGTAGAAAACTTATTTGCGTTGAGTGTGGCACTCATGAGGATGACCTTGAGATCGTCCCGTAGGTTGAGTAGGTCCTTCACAATGATCAGCAAAACATCCGATTGCAGGTTCCTCTCGTGGATCTCGTCTAACACTAGGTGGCTGATACTGGACAGCAAACTGACAGAGGAGCAAAAAAAAAGGTTTAACTAATTGATAAGTAATAAGAAGCATGTCTTTGGTCAAGACGTCATACGTCCTCACTAGGTCTCATAAATGTAAGCTCTCTGTCTGTTATGGCTGTGTTTACCACCTCTGCCAAGATCCTATTTTTACTTCTGCTTGTGGAATAGTTTCTCTGGTTTTCACATTTACCACATACGTACAGAAGCATAAAGCATAGATAGAAATGTTTTTTTTATTTTTACATCCCTTGGTCTAAATCATATCTTGATTTGAGGTTACACCTGTTTCTGCCTAAAGAAATTTGCTATTAATTTGATTATTTGGGGGGAAAAAAGATATTGGCATAGGCCTAGTAAAACAGTTTTACCATCTATACATTATATATACACACCTCTCCTCCTAAATTAGTCTGGTATATTTAATACTTCTTGGATCTAAACTAGAATTTAACAAAAATACATTGCACTTCTCTGTACAGCAGTAGTCTGCACCGATGAGTTAAAAGGGTCTGTGGGACTGAAAAGGTGAAGACTGGCTGCTATGTAATGTAATTATTCCTTAATGCCAAAAAAGTTGGTGCGTTCTGTCAGACAACTGCAGAAGCCTACAATGACTCACTGGAGTCGTACCAATTCTGAAGCAAGACAACAAGAAAAGCTGGCACGCTCACTCTGTAGTTTTTCTGAAGACACGCAGAAAGCAGCATGCATGAGTCAACAGAAGGTCTGTGTGTGAGTGTGTTTTCATTCCTCTGCCTATGAGAATGGGTACCCATATTAATCCTTCTTCCACAGACAGGAGAGCCAACCACAAATCAATGGGAATAAAACTGAGAGACACACAGGGAGTAAGAAAGTGGAGGAAGGGCAGCTGGAGCCAGAGATGCTGAGAGAAAAAGCAGAGAAGGACAAATGCTGGGAGGATGAGGAGGCAGGAGAGATGGGAGACTCACGGGTCTGAGCGAAGCCACTGAAGTATAATTCCTGTAGTACAGTACAGGACCGAACCTTGTCTCCGTGGTAACCGGCTGAGAAATAGGAGGAGAAAAAGACTTTACATTTCGCAAACAAAAGAAACGAATTCTTGTATAAAATGAAGAAAAAGGCTGGCAGAATGAGTTTCTCATGTTCCCATTTTTTGTTCAGGATTTTTTTAAAGTTGGCCGCTCAAACATTATTAGTGCACATAAAGCTGAAAGTGATGTTGCTATAAACCACTGCTGATACAGAAAATGCAGGCGAACGTGTAATTGGTTATAACAGGCCCTTGTGTTTGTACGCTGCATTAGTCAGTGATGAAAGCTTTCTCTGCTGAAAAGCAGTCATGATATGACCACTTGTTTAATTTAATCCCAAACAGAGCAGAAAGTACCTCTCTTCTGAAAAATGCATTTCATTGACAGCTGAACCACAGTAAAGACTTTGTTGTTTAACTGAGACAAGTGTAAAATTTACAGCAGAACTTGGACTCATTTCAGGAGATACAACACTAATTTCAATAGAATATATTTTTTTTTAATGAACCAGGGTTGTAAAATATTTCACGACACACAATATAAACAGTTAAATTACCAAAGCAGTGAAACAAACTGCAGCCAAATTAAGATTAAGCAACAATACAAAAGCATATAGAGTAGATAATAAATATAAGACATATTAAATAATAGCTAAAATGAGCGATAACAGCAATTCATTAACCTGGTCTCTAGCATGTTTAGTATAAAATTAAAAACAACCCCTCAAAGAGAGGTTTTCCAGGGGCCAAGTGCTAAGGATTCACCTGCTGATTCAGTATTTACTACCTGGTGACAGGGTTTTATGTGGTTAATATTCAATATAATTCAATAATCTTAAATTCACAGGCACAAACTACAGTATGTCTGATCACAGGCTCACTCCTCCAGCCCCGGGGACAGGTAACAAAGCAGCACCAACCTTAATCCTCTAAAACAAACAAATAATAAAGTCATCACAATACTTAACAGTAAAAACTAGACTACACCAAAACTGAAATTCAACCAGAGAATACTAAAAAGGTACTACTACCTTCCCCACTGTCTATGGCTGATAGCTTTAAAATCTCATAGCTGAAAAAGAATCATAGGAACCATATTTGTGACTTTACTTAATGACCGCACACCGTTTGCTGCACTACACACTACCAGCATCAAAGCGAGCACATTAATTTAGTGACTGCACTGACTGAGATGTGGAGAGGAGTACACCACATCCCTGCAAATGTAACTGAAGCTGGCAAAGACTAAATGTGTGCTTGCCAATTTATATTCAGTTTTTAAAGAAGCTGGCTACCCACCGAGACTGGGGGAAGTCCAGTTTGCAGAAACGAGTACTTTTTATATTAAGCTCCAGCTATGTGGGGGAGCTGGAGCATCAAAAGAAGTTTAACAAAGACGGTATCCAACTGCCAGTTTTTATACAGTACATACACCGCCTGAGATACACACACTGTCTCCATCAGGACTCGTGACAGTGGGCATTGACAGCACAGCAGTCTGAATAAAACCTCAAAAAGATGCCTTTCTAAATTGGCTAGACTTCAGGTTCTTTGATACAGAGCTATGCTTTAGTTATTTTCTCCCTAAATGCTCGCTATGAATCACAACTGTTCTGGCATGATGAAACTAGAAAAAACGTAGCACATGAAGAGATTTCGAAAGTGTGGAAAATGGCTTTAAATTCAGTCTAGCACCTTGTTACTTGTCCCATTTCTTGGACAGTCAGTAATCATTTTTCTCAGCCCATCTTTTCACTTCTCAATACCTGGATCTGTCTGCCTTCACATCACACCTGAGTTGCTCTTCCTCGCCTCTTACTGCATCTACACCATCTCGTCCTCGCTCATACTGCCTTGCACATAATTCACTTTAGATTGCTGCACCCTCTCATCTCCTGCAAGTCTGCTCGCTCAGCCTGCGCGCCGTTCAAGTGTCTGTCTCTCCCGCTTTGTTCCAACTCTTCCCGTGTGCAGTCTCAGAACATTCATATTTACTAATCTTGTCCTTCAAGAAATAAACTACTTTCCTGAGGGATTCCTAGATCACATACATTTCCCTTATCTCAAGTTTAGCCCATTGGCCGAGAAACTCTAGAAACCAAATCAGGCACAGTCTTAATACAGAGAACAGATGTGTGTAAAGTAGTACACATCAATGTATTTGTATTTATAAGCAAAAAAAAAAAAAAAAAAAAATTGAACATCCCCAACTGAATATATTCGGTGAGGACACTTGGACCAGGAACATCTGCTCTGTAAATGAAAACGGTTTACATGAGGAGTCTTGGGATAATATTCCTGTCATTACTGGGATATGAAGTCACCCATTCACCCAGTCTTATTTTGTATTAGGGTCTTACACTGAACTATTTTACTCTGTAAACACAAGCATCTGTTGACCTGTGAATCTCAGAGTAGCCTACATAGTGTTAAATTCCTTCAAACCAACTCTCGAGTTGATGCTCTTCCCCGTATCACCTAAAATTATTCTTTTATTGTACTGTTGTTTGATTGCTTTATTAATGTAATTCTGCCACCAAATCATTTAATAGAAAACTTAATTCATTATTATTAGATTAATTATTATTTATTAATTAATTACCGGTTGGACATCAAACCAACAGCAGATGTCTGGCGCAGTGGTGGACATGAAGTGACAAAGATATCAAATCAAAGTTAAAAGCACAGCTCTGAAGAATGACACAAGACATTTGTGCCTTCTAAGAAATTCCCACTGAACATCTGGGCACATTAAGCTTTGCTTTTGTACTTTAGTTACATGCAACTGAGCTATGAAATGAGAAGCAGCTTAGGACAGTGATTAAAACTGGCAATCGTAACAAAATCTACGTATATGTTTACGATGTCCAATTCTGTCTAATGGTGTGTTCACATTATTGCAGAGAAACAGCTTTTGTCTTGCTAGTGCATCCCTGTGCTCTGATCAAATTTGTTGAACTTTGACCCCAAGCTGCGCTGACCTTTGTGCGTGCAGCCAATCGCTGTTGACCACTGCTGATGTGAAACTAGTAAGCCTACTTGTTTCAGAACTTCTCAAACTGTACAATAACGTGATCCTCATATCGAGATCAGATAAAGACGAACAACCTATTTAACTAGCAAAATATCAGCATGCAAGAATGTTTATAAAAACCACTGCTTGAGCCTCTAAAGCATTCTAATCTACTGCTAGCAACATTAGTATTACAGCACAAAAGGCACCACATGGAGCGCAAGACCCTCATTTTTCCGTTATAATGTGAACACCTCAACTCTGACAAGGCTCGCTGATGTCACTTGTCTTCTTCAACCTTGAAAACAGCCATACAGGAAAGCAACAGTAAACTTTTTTGAATCCCTAATAAACATCTGAGATGTTGGCTACAGTTTGGATGTGGAACCTAGAGCTGCTCTGCTTGCCAAGTCACATTAATTTCTTAAGGCTGAAATTATATTTTTAACAAAGGGAATTTCTAGACAATTACTGAGCGCTTCATAAACACGATAGTAAAACTTTATGCATTAATGGATGTTTGAAAAGTCTTCCTTACCTCTGTAGGCGAATTTAAGAATTTCCATTCCCTACTCTTTCTGCCCTCTCCGCTGCTACACGCTCTGCCACCTGAGGGAAAGCACGCATTTTTGAACATTTAAGAGCACAGTCAGCAGAGGACGAATAGCTATTAACTCTACATGAATGACAGAGGAACTGGCAAATGCTAATGCATAAACATACTGGAGCACACACCTAAGTAAATACATCTTTCCTCAGTATGCACACAACAACATATAACCCAAAATGTCAAAGCTGAAAAACCAGCAGAGTTCATACCGATATGGCACTGATACGACGGGGCTGCGTGCAGACCACTCGGCACAACGAGCCCATGCCCCTGTTAATATAGTCATCTAGGATGAACTGAGTGACCTGAGTGGTCTTTCCACAGCCTGTTTCCCCGCTTACAACCAAAACACGGTTAGAGTTGATCAGCTGCACAAGCTCCTGAGGACAAAAAGATCAGATGAGGAGGAGGAAAAGGAAGAATTCAAATTGGGAAAAGAGAAATTCCATTTTAACAGAAATTCATAATGAAAACCAGAGTATTTGCTTTAAGAATGCATGAAATGTAAAGTCTACCTCCTTTTTCCCATAAGATGGTAGTTTTTCCCTGAATTTCTGAAGACAAAAAAAGAGCAAAAAGATGAATAAAATCAATAGCAGGAGTTCTTCACAACCACACAGTGAGTACAGTTTTTGCATGTTTAAACTTCTAGATAATTCTAATAAGAACATATTCTGTGTATTAGGGTGTTGGTCTAAACTATTTTTTATCTGTAAACATAAACACCTGTTGACCAGTGAATATCGGAGTAGCCTAACAAATTCCTGCAAATCTGCTACCATGAGTTATTAGTAAGACTCTCATACACTGGGAGGTGGTGGAGCAAGTGGATAACATCAAGTTCCTGGGCATCCACGTCACATCTGACCTGACCTGGTCTGGTCTCTGAACACATCGCACCTGGTGAAGAAAGCCCAGCAAAGGCTTTTCTTCCTCAGGAAGCTGAAACACGCTGGTCTTTCCTCTCAGCTGCTTGCAAACTTCTACAGAGCGACAGTAGAGAGCATCCTCTGTCTCAGTGCGAAAGTGTGGTATGGGAGCTGCACTGCACAGGACAGAAAGGACTTGACCCGGGTGGTGAGAACAGCTCAGGGCATTGTAGGGAGTCCTCTTCAGGATCTGGACTCACTATACACTGACGGGATCCAGAGGAGGGCCGGACGGATTGCTGCAGACCCCACCCACCCTGGTAACAGTTTGTTTGTGCCTCTTCCCTCCAGGAAAAGGTACAAGAATATAAAGACTAAAACAAACAGACTGAGACACACCTTCTTCCTCAGAGCTGTGAAATCAATCACCCCCCTAACCCCTAGTCACCACACACACACACACACACACAACCTCACCCCCATGGACAGATACAATTGAATTGTGGACTCCTGCTGATGTATACACATGCTCACACCTCTTCTTAACGACAGATTTGCACTGAGCTGCACTTTAGAATGTGACTGTATTCTTCTGCTGCTAATATGCTGCTGACCTGATTAGGTCCCATACATGTTCATATTTTTATATTGACTTGTACAATTTTTGTGTTATTTATGTAAATAATGTGTCTTTTAAGCTGAGAGCTGCCGGAAGAAATTTCGTTGTGCTATGCACAATGACATTAAAGATTCTTGACTTGAAATAGATGCTCTCCCCTGTATCATCTTCAGTTATCCTTTTGTTGTACTGTTCTTTATTCTCCACTCTTCACTGCTTTATTAACCTAATTCGGCCACAAAAATCATCATGCTATTTTGATCAAATCATTTCATCTAAAAGAAAATATGAATCTGGTTGGATATGAAATCAACAGTAGATGGCTGCTGCAGTGGATATTCTGGATAAGATAAAATCATTTAATTCAACATATTGAACTGTCAGAGAGATGTAAATAATGCTTTACTTCAATATGCCCGACGACCTGTGTGGTACCAGGAGCCTAAACCTTTGCTGCAGTCTATACAAACTAGATTCAAATCATTATACTCACCAGCATTTCTTTGTATTTTGGAACCGATCTCTTGGTCTGCAGATCTTTCTTTAGGTAATCGTCCAGTGAACAATCTCTGACTACTTCATGAAATAAGAACTCCAGGTCCCTGTCTTTTCTTATCAGTTTCTCTTTGTCCTCCTCTTCCTCTTCCTCCTCCTCCTGCTGCTGCTGCTGCTGCTGCTGTTCATCTTCATCCCATGTGTCTGGGGGCTCATCTTTAGCTACTGCTGGACAGAAGTAACTAAACAACAACAATAAAGTGTGTACACATGTAAATTACAGTGGAACACCAGATAGTGTTACTGTTCTGTGATTAGAGCATCCTTAAATATTAAACAACATTTTTGGAGCAAGTCATGTTTTTTTAGCATGCATCTGATTTGTTTGCAAAGTTACCGTTGTGATTTGTGAGTCGCTTTCTTCTGTCCCACACTAACATCTACCTCCTCTTCCTCAGATTTGATCTCAGTCTTCTGTTTATCTTCTTCAGGCACATCCCCATCAAAATAACTGCATACACAGGTCAGAAACATGACAGTTTGAATATATCATAGATGGAAAATAAAACCTTATTTTATTAAGTGTAAGCTATAAACTACACTGAGCAAGTCTCAAACAGAAGAGCCATGCAAGCTGTTCTCACCAGTGACCACTTTGACTGGCAGCTGTTCGCCAGCTGTCAGACATAGAGGCTTTTGTATCCCAACTGTCCCTCTCTGGACCAGGCTTGTCATTCTGGACAGAGTTAAGCAGCTTGGTAATGTGTTGCTCTCTGGCCTCATCCATCTGGACCACTGCCCGCTACAAACAGACATGGAAAGGAAAATGTTCAGCTTTACCTTTATAGCCTAACCAGTGATCAATAAAATCAACAAATGTAGGCTTGCACATTATTGCCTTAACATCTACAGTATGTGAGGGACTTTGTACACAGACCTGTGCGCATAATGTGTAACATGCAAAACTCTGAGCTCTGCACTACTTACCCAAAAGTTTGAGCTTAATAGCTGAGCTCAGAAGGTAGACCTATTATATGCCACAAGTTAATAACTCAGTGAGGGACTCACTGTCACCTTCTCTGTGTCTCTCACATCCGCGTTGAAGACCCTGATCTCTGTGTCTAACAGACTGACAACCTGCTCCGCTCAACTCAATGTACAAGAATATGAACAAAACACTATCCATACCGATCTCCGGTCAGCCTGTTTCTTCCTCACGGCTCCATATCTTGCGTACCACAGACCAATCTCACGGCCCTTCAGATGTGGAGGGTGACGGCCCCATTGTCCGTCTCCTCCTTGGTCCTGGTCCATGGAATTGTGTCCCTTCGAACCCCCCCCTCTCTCCGTGCTGCCATCTCTGTACCCTCGACCTCCTCTTCTGCCTCTTCTCCCACCTCTACCGCCATATCCATAACTCATACCGCCGTCAGCAACAAGCGGTGGCAGCACCAAATACTACAACGCTGTGAGAATATCTTACTAAGTTACCAGTATTGCGTACGACGTCTTGTAGCTACTCGCCAACGCTAACGTTACTTTGCTAGTTGTGTTGCACAGATTCGTGGACCAGAGAATGGAGTGGCTACACCCACGTAGCAGCTGCTAGTAAAATTCTCAATAGCAACATGTAAATTTTGATCTATGGTCTGCTAATTTAATGGAAAAACAGCAACACTGAGAAACTGCTATAAAATATAACAGAACGTTTGCCGTTTGCTTAGTCGTGTTCATCCGGCATGTCGCACAGTAATTCAGTCAGAATTTTCAGGCGACGAATTTTGACGTAGCGATCTGTGATTGGCTACCCCCACCCCGTCTTAAATACCAGACCACAACACATGTCAAAACTATAAATTAATGTTTAAACAGTGGCAGGCCGTGCATTTGGTACCTGGGCCTTACCCAACTTAATTCACGTCTTAATACCACCACTGTACGTTGCAATTATAGAAATACTATACAAAAACGCAATATAACAAAGCGTGGCATTACAGAGAGAGAGGTATTTCGTGTATTGAGGGTGAATACCATTTTTTACCAAAGCAAGAAACCCAGTTAAGACTACTCCAAACCTCTACACTACAACCGCAACTATGCCACGTACATCATCCGGAGCAGTTAAGAATCAATATTTATCTAATAACATTACAAAAACATACAAAATTGAAATTAAATACATCATACACACCAGAGATGCTATTTATTTATTTATAGACAAAATCCATCCTCCTCTCTTTGCGCAGGAAGACTTCAATGACTGTCGTAGAGGTAATCTCTGCGTTTCAGTTCCATCAGTAAGTCCTTTTCTAGTTTTGTTCTGACCAACTAATCAGAGGACGGAAACATGCTGACGCAATTGTAGGCCAGCTAGCTGGCTCTGTGAGGCGAATTTTAAATCTGATTGGTTAAAGAAACAGTCCCATCGCTAACATAGTTGAAGTTATATCAACCAGCACTACTGATTCTGAAGGCCCTGGCCAGATTAGAGATTGACATGGCAACACATACAGGCTGAAATCTGATTGGGCAAAAAAAAAAAAAAATCTAACATCCATATACACGTACTGGAAGCAGTGCAGCCAAGAGAAACATTGCGAAATGAAGAGAATAGACTGTTGGGAATAAATTTGTACAAATTCATGGAACAAATATTAGAATTTAGGTTGTAAATGTAGGTCAGTGCTTCTTATAGTGTTTAGGCCAGTAGAGAAGGCCTTGCTGGCATTGAGGCCCATCACTGTGTTTAAATATCCCTTATACTAAGTACATGCCTGTTCCACCGGCCTACTATACCTCTACATAACTGGAGTATTCCATTCTATTTATGTTACTTCCGCTTCATTATGTGCCAGAGGGAAATGCTGTAGACTACATTTTACCCACCTTCATTTACATGACTCAGTTAATAGCTACTTAAAGAAAAATTGTCTATATTATATGATGCAGCACTTTACTAATAATTGGCAACATAGAATGAACAGATAGATACAGTATATCACAGAAGTGAGTACACCCCCTCACATTTTGTAAATATTTAAGTATATCTTTTCATGTGACAACGCTGAAGAAATGACACTTGGCTACAATGTAAAGTAGTGAGTCTACAGCTTGTATAACAGTGTAAATGTGCTGTCACCTCAAAATAACGCAACACACAGCCATTAATGTCTAAACTGCTGGCAACAAAAGTGAGTACACCCCTAAGTGATAATGGTCAAATGGGGCCCAAGTAGCCGTTTTCCCTCCCTGGTGTCATGTGACTCGTTAGTGGTACAAGGTTTCAGGTGTGAAGGAGGAGCAGGTGTGTTAAATTTAGTATTATCACTCTCACTCTCTCATACTAGTCACTGGAAGTTCAACATGGCACCTCATGGCAATGAACTCTCTGAGGATCTGAAAAAATGAATTGTTGCTCTACATAAAGATGGCCTAGGCTATAAGAAGATTGCCAAGACCCTGAAACTGAGCTGCAGAACGGTGGCCAAGACCATACAGCGGTTTAACAGGACAGGTTCCACTCAGAACAGGCCTCGCCGTGGTCGACCAAGGAAGTTGTGTGCCCATGCTCAGCGTCATATGCAGAGGATGGCTTTGGGAAATAGATGTATGAGTGCTGCCAGCATTGCTGCAGAGGTTGAAGGGGTGGGGGGTCAGCCTGTCAGTGCTCAGACCATACGCCGCACGCTGCATCAAATTGGTCTGCAAGGCTGTCGTCCTAGAAGGAAGCCTCTTCTAAAGATGATGCACAAGAAAGCCCGCAAACGGTTTGCTGCAGACAAGCAGACTAAGGATATGGATTTCTGGAACCATGTCCTGTGGTCCGATGAGACCAAGATAAACTTATTTGGTTCAGATGGTGTCAAGTGTGTGTGGCGGCAACCAGGTGAAGAGTACAAAGACAAGTGTGTCTTGCCTACAGTCAAGTATGGTGGTGGGAATGTCATGGTCTGGGGCTGCATGAGTGCTGCCGGCACTGGGGAGCTACAGTTCATTGAGGGAACCATGAATGCCAACATGTACTGTGACATACTGAAGCAGAGCATGATTCCTTCCCTTTGGAGACTGGGTCGCAGGGCAGTATTCCAACACGATAACGACCCCAAACACACCTCCAAAATGACCACTGCCTTGTTAAAGAAGCTAAGGGTAAAGGTGATGGACTGGCCAAGCATGTCTCCAGACCTAAACCCTATTGAGCATCTGTGGGGCATCCTGAAACGGAAGGTGGAGGTGCGCAAGGTCTCTAACATCCACCAGCTCCGTGACGTCATCATGGAGGAGTGGAAGAGGATTCCAGTGGCAACCTGTGAAGCTCTGGTGAACTCTATGCCCAAGAGGGTTAAGGCAGTGTTGGAAAATAATGGTGGCCACACAAAATATTGACACTTTGGGCCCCATTTGGCCATTATCACTTAGGGGTGTACTCACTTTTGTTGCCAGCACTTTAGACATTAATGGCTGTGTGTTGCGTTATTTTGAGGGGACAACACATTTACACTGTTATATAAGCTGTAGACTCACTACTTTACATTGTAGCCAAGTGTCATTTCTTCAGTGTTGTCACATGAAAAGATATACTTAAATATTTACAAAATGTGAGGGGGTGTACTCACTTCTGTGATATACTGTAGATAGATAGATAGATAGGCATACTTATTAATCCCCAAGGGAATATTCTGGTGCTACAATAGAAAGACAAGGAAGTTTTACAAAATAGGTAGACTATAGGTAAAACAATAAGTTTAAAATATATACAGTTATATTTAACAACCAGAATAAGTCACCACACAAAACGTGGCACTGACCAAAGAGCAGAAAAAAAATTATTAAAATTTAAAATATTAATAATATGTTGGAAAAAAAAGAAAAATAATAATATCTTACATATAGTAAATAAACAACAAACAATAAGCCTATACAATGCTATTATCTACACAGTGGTTCATAGCAGTCTACTGTATAAAGTATCTTTTGCTTCACTTTGACAAACACACTCTTACATGTAGGCTACTGGTGATAAAAAGAGGGAAAATATATTATTAAAGCAATTTTAACATAATGCTGTGAAATGAGCCATTCTGTGTAATGAGTAGCTTATTTAGTTGTGTGAGGATGGTGGAAATACAACAGAGCCTTTTGGACAGTGGACAAGTTGTGAAAACAGAAGCACATGAAAAGAAAAAGAACCGTTTCACATACTCTGAGCCCCTGCTCTTCTCAATATTGTTGCGGACCTTGCGATGCATATGGATGTTTTGTAACATCTATGGGTCAATTAATCAAAATGAAAACCATCAAATCATGTTATAACATAGTCTGCTTTTTTCCCATAATCTGACTTTGGCTTACATTTTCATCACTCCACTTACATTTTCATGGCACCACCTGAGAAGAGGAAACCAGGCAACAATCAGGCAAAAATGTTGATGTTTTTCTCTGGTGTCAGAATGAGGTATGCAAGCTATGGGTCAAATGTAGGCTGCAGCTGAACCAGTGGATAGAAGCAAGCAGAACATCTGGCTGGGACCCAGAGCTGCTGGAGAATTTCCATACATTGATAGTTACAATACAATTCAATGGTGACATTTTTCAATGCCAAGAAAAATTAAGTGCAGCAATGAGCCGTGCACACTGTGCTCATGATGAGAAAATGAGCTGTTTGTTTCCAACTGCAGTTTGCACCAACTTGAGAGTTTATTATGGTTTAATTATTTGATATATTTTATTATGTGGACCTTATCCTTTTAAATGTATTTTTCCTTAAAGATTGTTTGTTCTAACCTCTTTGATTGCTAAGTAATTGGTAGCTTTGAAATTTTTTTTCCACAATATATATATTATTAATACTCTCCCTGTTTTATGTGACCTTTTCATAGAAATTAACAACCAAATGTTTTGTGTTACTCGAGAAATACATTAAAAAAAATTAGAACGTGTGTGCAAAGCCTTTATATCTTATTGATCAAGCAGAAATAACTGAAAATGTCTGATTAGTTAGAGAGGTCAATACTTCTCAAAATCTTCTAGAAGCTAATGTTTCTGCACTGCTGCCAGTGCCGTTCAATGAGTCTGGGTCACAGGAGGCTTTGGCAGCAGTTTTGGAGCAGATTTCAACAACAAAAATATCTGAACAAAGTTACTGTAGCTTTAACCATAAGCTGCACTATAATCCCATTCAAACTAAAAATAAGCAGAGATTCAAATTACTTTCACTTTGTTAGGCTGCAGAGATGAAGCCCTACTCAGCTGAAAATCTTTGGCACCATCCAAGACTAAGGAGATGCTGTGGGCTTCAGGAGGTCCAGGACTTCAGGTGGAGGAGAATTAAAGATATCCCAGTCCAGTCCAGCAAACTGGATTTGGAATGTAATACAGACTGCCTATGGGAAGCGGCAGAGCAGACTCTACTTCTTGAGGAAGCCCAGGTCATTTAATGTGGGCAGCAAAATGTTACACCTTTCTTTCACCAGTCTGCTGTGGCAAGTGCAGTATTCTTTGCTGCTAGAGACACCAGCAAACTGAACAAACATCAGGAAGGCTGGCTCTGCATGTACTGGGGACTTCACTGGAGCCTGTGGAGTTGGCTGTGGAGAGGAGAATGCTGCTTGGACTGTTAAACATCACGGAGAACACCTGACATTCCCTCCCTGACCTGCAGGTCAAACAGCAGAGCATGTTGAGAGACTTCTTCAGCTCCGCTGTGACAAAGAACGCTGGAGGAAGTCTTTCCTGTCAACTGCACAATAAATCTCCTCTGTGGCGGGCGAGAGACCTCCTCCTCTAAAAACATAGGATCGTTATCATACTGTAGATACATGTTGTATATTCATCTACATTTAATATCAATTGAAAATGAACCTTTAGGTTTTTCTCTATATCATCTCTCTGCACTAATGTACAGTGTACATAGTGTTAGGTTCTCTCCCTTGTTGTGTATTTGTATGTTAATGCTGGCGACTGTAACTATCTAATTTCTGTTTGTCTATCAATCTGAAATGTCTGGCAGTATTTCTATCTGTCTATCAATCTGAAATGTCTGGCAGTGAATGCAACTTTACATTCATCATCTTTCATTCACGTGCACATTATTTTCTTTTACATGTTGCCCAGGAGTACTCGAAACAGAAACGCATTGCAGTTTGGTTGGAGGCAATTTTCTGATATGAATCTTTAATGACAACATTTTTCAGAGGAAGGGACGTGTCACAGCTGATGAAGTGGGCTCACTAAATTATCTGTGAAGTGCCGCTGCTGTGTTGTAGGATCAAGCAGCCAAACAGTCGATGTATAAAAGGCCATCATAAAACAAACTTGAATACATACAGTACAGATTCTAAAATGAGTCTGTAATACTCATTTTACTGTATTACTGCTGTTTGTACACACACGCTCATGTAAGAGTGTGTATTAGTAATGACTGATATACTGAAGTTTCCTGGTAAAGATGGTAAAAATGATATTCTTCTAAAAGATGTTCACACTCCATGGAACCATTCAAAGTGGAAATATGCAGTACAGCCTATGAAAATGTTATTCAGGTTTTGAGTTTATGCATTATGTATTTGACATAAATTGAGAAGCCACGGTGGCTTACTGACTGGATGGGCAGTGAATTGAGCAGACAGAGAATATGATCCACCAAAGTGACTTTGGAATGTACATTCATATGCTGCCTACTGTAGTAAAATATGCATACAGTACTGTCACTATTTAAGTCTGACTGAATATGCACAAGGCAGAATACTGCTCCACACAGTATCATTTCAACAGTCCCTCAAATGCCTGCTTCTCTTTTCTCTCTCCTCTTGTTTTAGAGTTTCACCCCGGATAGTGGTCTCTCTCTCACTAATTTGATAGCAGTGACACTGATTATGTAATACGTGACGTGGCAGCTGGTGGCGCAAAGAAAACACACCCAAATTAAAAGAATTACATATACAGGGGAAACAAATAAATACTTTTGGTAGTTGATGCTGCAAACCATTACCCTCATCTTTATGGGCAGGGTTACTTCTCACACACAAAAATGCATGATAACACACACACTGCGATGAGTCAGACCCATGGGTCAGGTGACCCCTCCCTTCACAGGTGCGTCACCAGTGATGTAATCAACCGGAGCAGCGCTATATCAGACATGTGACCAGACCTCAGCACCACATTTCCAACATTTTTCAACACATTTCTCTCAACCTGAATCTATTTTATGATGACAACATGGCATACTGCATGGTGAAAGTCATGGCAGGAATACAGATGCTCTGCTGGAATACTGTTTCTCTCTCCTACACCCCTCCTACCCACACCCCACTCTTTGCTTCTGTCTCTATCTCACGTTTGCCTGATTCACTACAGTCTGTTCTTTTACAGGCTAAACTATCCCTGTGTACTCTATAAACAGGTGATGCATGTGCTCTTGTGATGCAATCTGAAGAGGAGGTACAAGAGTAAGTGAAGTCTCTATTTGGTCTCATGGCAGTTCTGTCAGAGTGGTGATCAGAAAGAAGCAAATGTGGAATGAGTAGGAAAATTGTCTTTCGTCCTTCCTTGTAAGGAGTTTTCTTTAAGCCTCCTCTTGAAAGTCACCTTTTGTGCTGTCCTGTATGTGTCTCACTCTTCCCTATCACCGGCCTGCTTTCTATAGGCTTCATTGAGCAGCTGTATCTCCTCATGATATCCCGAGCTCTCCTGCGTCTGTCGTCGGCTGTTCTGCCGGTGGGCCTCCACAGTGTCGGGTATGGTGATATTGATGGTCTCTGTCTCGGTGTTGCCACTGCTGGGGATGAGCAGAGAGTAGGAAGCCGTCTCACCCAAGTCGCAGGAGACAAAGCGGTTCTCCCTGCGTGAGTAGCGCAATGATGGCGAGCGAGCGTGGGTCGATGACTGGCTGATGTTTGAGATGATGGAGACGCTGTCCATGGCCTCCTCATTGTCACAGATTTCCAGAACCTCAAGGTGGATCTTGACATTAGTATCCCCCATGCCAGCCCCTATACCCATCCCCATTCCAATCTCCATGATGTTCACATCTCCAGCTTGGCCTCCCGATGCTGTCTCGTCTGCACTGGGCTCATGGCCAACTGACTTGGAGCGATACACTTCCACCTTTACATCAGAGAAAGATTTATAATACCAGTCATTCATAAACAATATGGAGTTACCATGCAATTCACCATTACTCAACCTACTTTCTGAAACAAAAATATTCACTTTATTCATTCAATCAACTCTAATACTATCCTGGCTTGGAATACATAGTATACTCTATGTCTCATTTTACTTAATGTCCCATACCAAATCACCCCAAAATCAACTATATCTTTCAATAATTAACATGTTATATCTTAATTTTTTTTAATCCACATAGAAACAGAAATTTGAAAACAACAAATTGGGACAACAAACTCTAGAACCACAACTTGTCATTGTTAATACAGTATGAGTCAGGCTAACATTAGCCATTACCGAGCTGCTTCCAGTCTTTATAAACTAACCTTACTGTCTCTTGGTGCTAGCTTCATAATTAGCACAAACGACATAAGAGCAATATTCATCTTTTATAACAAGTGACATATTTCTCAATATACATATTTCTCACTATTCCTCTGATGAATTGCTTGAACAGGAACTGAACCCGGTCTTGCTCAAAAACTTTAGAAGAAGAAAGTGCGGTCAGGGCCATTACCTTCTTGGCATTGTTTGGGGAGATTTTGAGTCCGTCACTGCTGACCTCATAGGTGGAAAGAGAGAGAGTCTTTCCTGTAGGTGCTTGCAAAGATACGGTGCCCTGAAAGGCACACAGGGGGATTGACAGACCACCCGATGACCGCTGTAAAAAAAAAATAAGCAAACAAAAAAACAACCAATGTTCAGTCAACATTCTGGATCTCATTCCTTTTGTTCAGACCAACTGAGCTCAGGTTGTGTCCATGACGTCTAGGACAGGAAAATGAACGTGCTGACCAATTATGAATCTTTCTGACCAACAGCAGGTCCAAAGAGATGTTAGTGCTCCAAGCAAAGAGAAGCTAACAGAGATTGCTTGGGTTCACAGTAAAAAGAATAACTGTTACCTATAAGCTATTCAGCTATCAGAATTTTATAATTAACTAATTTAATCTGAAGAATATAAATTCAGTGTATACTGTCTGTGAAGGCCTCAGTCCTGGCCTTCACCATGTGAGGACCTAAACCACCACCAGCCATGGACTTGGGTGGGTAATTCATATTAGACATACACAATTGAACAATGAGCATGCACATTTGATTAATTTTGTATTGTTAATGTTTACCTTTTCTTTTGAGTTACCATGTTTCCTGGTCCATGGATGAGGGGTTGTATTTTGAGACAGTTCAGTTTGTTGTATTTTGAGACAGTTCAGTTTGTTGTATTTTGAGACAGTTCAGTTTGTTGTATTTTGAGACAGTTCAGTTTGTTGTATTTTGAGACAGTTCAGTTTGTTGTATTTTGAGACAGTTCAGTTTGTTGTATTTTGAGACAGTTCAGTTTGTTGTATTTTGAGACAGTTCAGTTTGTTGTATTTTGAGACAGTTCAGTTTGTTGTATTTTGAGACAGTTCAGTTTGTTGTATTTTGAGACAGTTCAGTTTGTTGTATTTTGAGACAGTTCAGTTTGTTGTATTTTGAGACAGTTCAGTTTGTTGTATTTTGAGACAGTTCAGTTTGTTGTATTTTGAGACAGTTCAGTTTGTTGTATTTTGAGTTTCCTTATCTTTTGTTGACCTCTTTTAGGGCCCAGTTTATCTGATGTTAATTTTGTATTTTTCTTGCTTTTGGGTTAATAAAAACCCTTTATTTTGAACTTTGGAAGCTGTGTCTTTTGCCTTACTGCTTGGTCCCTGACACTGTCAATTCCATTTCTTCTAGGTTTGTTACAGTATCTTGACATATTTTTTTCAATTATATGGCTCATTTATGTCACTCATATTGTTTAACATATTTCATGTTTTCCAGCCACATATTTAAGCTGCTTTTACAGAAATGAATTCACCATGCTGTACATCAAAACGAGTATCTGTCAACATGATGCGTCTGAGACAATGCATATTGTTGACTGGGGAAAGGAGAAGCATCCACTGGTGTGACAGTGGGAAGACCGTGGCAGGTCTCATTAAGCCCTCTACATTATTTAAATTAATGTGATGTAATGATCTGAATGCGACTATAATGCACAATGGAAACAAAGAGGACGTCAATCTCTTGTTCTCTCTGACTCTGTTTTCCTGTCATCATCTTTGCATCTTTGCAAATGGAGAGCGATGCATAGGGAGAGAGAGTAAATGAGTGAGACCCCGATGCTGAGCTGAAAACACACTATCAATTAACTCAAATAATGCTGAGAACCCATTAATGTGAAAAACACTTTGATAGATGGGTGTGTGTGTGTGTGTGTGCATTCTGCATGTTTTCTGAATACTGCATATTCAAGACTTTATTTTACTGTATGTGATTTTGATATACAGTATATAAACCTGCGTGTCGTGACTATTGCACATTAATGTTACAGTATTGATTGTGTTTGCTCCAAACAACAGATGTCCATAAAATTCATGGCCTCCAAAGGATTATTCCATTTTGTGATCCATGACCTTTTCTTTAAGGCCACAAGGATGGTGATATTCTTTCTGTCTCAACAGATATCAAATGGATTGTCATGAAATTTAGAAATGGTTATCAGTGGTGCTCAGGGGATATACCCCAGCAAAATTGGCTGTTTGAAACGTTTTTACTTATCATGGAGACAGGTATGGTTCCCCTAACCTTTCCTCTACAGCCAACATTAGATTACCATTTGTGGTGAAGACTCAAATCTCAGCAATTAGTGAATGGATCGCTGTTAACTTTGGGACAGAAACACATGTCTACCTGTAATAACTATTGTCATCCCCTCACTTTTCTTATGGTGACATCATCAGGTCAAAATGTAGTTTGTGATGAAATGCCTGCAGAACTATAACCTTCACATTAGGCACCATTTAGTACTAATACCCATATTTTAGTAAGCTTACACTCTAAACACAGTGAACATAGCTAATATCCTAACTGCAAACCATCAGCATGTTAACACTGTTGCTCTCAGCATGTTAACATGCCACATTTAGCATTTAGCTCATTCCTACAGAGCTGCTAATGTGAAAGAAGACCCTTTCTGTATATTTTAACACATAGAAAAGTGTCAATATATAACACCTGTTTCAAATTAGCAAGTGCTGTTAGATATCAGCATCAATACAGATACTTGTATCGATGCAGTTCATTGATTCCATTTGTGTAATTTCACCATCTATATGAAAACCAATCAATTTATTTATAATTCTTTTAATTTTAGATGCATTCTCAGAAGGGTAAACAGGTTCCAGTTGCCTACAACTGAATGCACGTTAGAACTCCTGTTCCCCTCAGGGAGATGGCTTATGAACACACCACCAGCTCTGTGCTTGCTAACAGAGTATGCAGTCACCGAGAGGGTAAAGATGGCTTTAAGCTTTAACTCCACCTCTCCCTGTGGATGCTGAAGGCCATAAGGGACGACTGTAAAGAGGAGACATGCTGGGTAATGACATCTGGTCTGCTAATGAGGAACAAAACACAACGAGAAATATTATAAATCACAGCCCATTTAGGCTTGGCTCTCTTGTTTGGCTATGTGTGTATATATAGTAACGTAATACTGTACTGTTATTATGTGTCTGACAGCTAATTTTGATCTTTATGTAACTACCTTGGGCATTATTTCATATCTCATATTAAGAACATCACCAAAGTTTTTTTTATTATCTCAGAAATGTGGCTAAGATAGGCCTGTTTTTAATTATTAATGATGCAGAAAAAATCATCGATGCATTTATAACTAGCAGGCCTGATTACTGCAGTGCTATTTTAGCAGGTCTTCTTGTTACATTAAGAAGAAGATGGCAGTTAATGTAGAGTTCTGCTGCTTGGCTAGTTGCTTTAAAAAAGATGAAAGACCATATTACAGCAATTTTGGCCTCTTTACACTGGCTACCCATAGCTTTTACAATTGATTTTAAGGTTCTATTATTAGTCTATAAAGTCTTGAATCACTTTGGCCCAGCCTACTTGTTTGAACTATTAAAACCATGCACACCGACTAGGGCGCTAAGATCCTCAAATTTAAATTTCTTTTCTCAACATTGTGTGTACAAAAATATGGGAAACAGGCAACCTCATTAGGGTCTTTTAAAAAACTGGCAAAGTTAATCTGTTCAGCTAAGCTTTTAATTATTGCACATGTATTTTTTTTATACAATTTTGATGTGTCCACCATTATTATTATTATTGTTGTTGTTATTGTCATATTTCATATGATGTATTCAGAGCATATGAATTATGTTATATAAATGACTGATTGATTGATTGCTGCCCTCTATGACTGCATTTAGGGACTGGGAGGTGGGTGTAGCTTTATTTGGTTATTTATGTCTTTGCTGTTTGGATGTGTGTATCTCTGTCCTTGTGTTTTCATTTAGTTTGTATATGCACTGTGTTACTGCATGTACATACTGTAACTATACTTGTATGTACTGCCCACAGTCAATAAATAAGGTCTAAGGAAACATAAAATATGGTTTGCTACTAAGAAACTGAGAAGTAGGATAAGCATACACACACAGACACACAAACACACACGTCTGCAGTGAGTGTCTTAGATTTATACATGATGCAAAGTGAGTGCCAAACCCAAGCTGTAGATGCACACTCCATGGATTTTCCACGCTCTGGTGATTTTCAAACCAGACTTTTAAGTAGAGCAGAGACAGAGAGGAAGCAAGACAGAGCTAGAGTGTGTGTTCACGTGTGTGTGCCTGTGCATTCACACATTTCCGCCTCTGTCTGTGTCCCAGTTAGCTTGTGAGTCTGCAGCAAGCTTATAGTGTTATTGTTCTAAAAAGTGCAGTCGGTTTTAAAGGCAACGCCTGTAGCTACACTGCTGTTTCTCTGGGACAGAGTGAGACCATTTGTTGTCTGGTATACTTTAATTATTAAGCCTTTACTGTTTTGTTCTTGTTTAACAATTCAGTTAACTCCAAAATACAAAGAGAATCAAACTACTAGTATTACAAGAGCGCAAAAAAGACATGGATTAAACATGGATTACTGGATAGTGGTTCACATGCTTGCAGCAAATGGTCTTGAGCTACATTTAGAGCTCTTTAACTGACTATCGACTGAGTATATCACTAATTTATGAGGCCATCTTTAGGTCTTGGCAGACACCACTGTAGCTTACACTATATTTTGTTAAACTTGAACATGAATCAAAAATGGATTCTGTCGAATTTTTCATTAAATTTTCATTTTACATTTCTACCAAATCACATGTATGCACAAAATATTCACAAACACACAGCTAGGCTTGTTGATAAATCCCACTGATCTTGAAACTGTAAATAGTGCCAAATCACATGAATTAATTAATGACTAGAGTAGAGCCATGAGAGCTAGACTGATGTCTACGGTGAATAAATATTTGGCTTTGAAAGGCAGGCTGGTGTTACTAAAATGGTACGCTGTATAGTGTCGTGATCAGTTGCTCTGTTAGTCAGAATCAATGAGGCACAGTTAAAGCTATGCAGTGAAAAGAAAGCAGAGGACAGGAAAGGAGAGGGGCTAAGGGTGAAGAGATTTTTACCACTTTATCTAAATTACATATGCAGCTCCCAGTCTGTCAGCTTGGCTATAAAGAGACATATTCACAGATGTCACAGAAAGGCAGACAGGCATTCGCACAGACAAAGCCACACAAATTTGTACATACTTCTTGGCCTGGCTATGTAAAGACTACATCCATTCCACCAGGTGGGTCTCTGTATGTCCGTACTGGTGCACTGCAATAAGACAGTACTTAATATTCCAAAACCATCCTTTTTATAGCCCTGAGAACTGAAAACAATCACCTCTGGAGTATGTCACCATATGCATGCAAATGCAGCAGTTGTTTAGGAAAGCTACATGAGTGTGGGAAAATAAAATTAATGCTATAAACTGAATTAAATTAATGGTTCAATGTCAATCTAATAAACCAACTACTCTGGACAATGGTGTACCTGTCTGGGTGTTCTCTCTGATTTACTCCTGCACCACTCCCAGTCTGTCAGCTCGATTTTCCGACATTCCTCATGTGATAGCCTCCTCTCGGGCCCCTCAAACACCGATGATGTGTCAGTGAGATTGTGATCCTGCTCCTGCTGATGAGAAGACAAAGAAGGGATACAGCGGAACCTGTCATCATCTCCATGGTTCTCATTGGGAAATGGAGGACAGTCAGCCAGCGCCTCTCCTCCGCCAGGGACTTCTTCCAACAGGTCTGCATGAGAGGAGCTGTCCACTGGGCACGTGGTGCTGAAATCGAAACTGGGCCCCAGGCTAGAAAGCCTGCTACTTTCTAGTACATCAAGGCGGGTATTAGGGAAGTCACAGTTAAAGAGGCTGTGATAGGCAGGCTTCTCAAGGGGAGGAATGTTGTGAGACATAGTGGCATGTGACAACTTGTATACTCCACAGCCTTGTTGGAAGGAAAGGTTGAACTCAAATCTTCTTTTCATCACTGTGAAAAAAGCCATCAGGAAAAATTCCGTTATATCCTCATAGCAAAAAACAACAACAAAAAAAAAAACTAGCATATACTCTATATCCCTTTGGGAAACTGATTCATTATGTAGATGTGAGCAGGCTTGAAAGTGCATTGTTGGAAAATTTGTGTTATGTCATGGTGTACCTGAGGGTTCCTGCACTGGATCACGGTTACAGTTAATGAAGCAGCCACATGGCATGTGAATCCAGCGCTCAGACAACACGAATAACGGCGTGACCGCAGGGGCAAGGAGAGTGAGAAAGAAGCTCAGAGTCTCCAGGGATGAGCTGCGTGCATTCACTGCATGGCGCACAAGCACCAAAGTCTGTGAATGAAAGAGAAGGGGACTTTAATTCAGTGAGGAGTGATTCAATGTGCATGAGGGAGTGAGTGAAGGAGATGCATGAATGAAAAGAAATCTCACAGATCCTTCACCCATGCTGGACTTCTTTTGTTTTTCTCTTTTGTTTTGTATTCAAACAAGTCATTTGAATGCCATGTCATTTAAGCCAAAATGCGACATGTTGAGATAGAGAGGGAGAGACAGAGACTCACAATACTGAGGCCTACTGTGTGTGGGTGTACCACACTGAAAATAAAAGGATACATTTCTGTTGCTTCTTGGAAAAATGAAATTGTTCCTTAGTAAATAATGTTACAGTAAGTGGCCCAGCAACAAGTACCACACTGTGCGGTTATTGATCTCTACAGTTTACTAGAAATTTAGCTGTAAATGCAAAAGCCTGATTTAAAAAAATCCAAGGAGAAAAGGCAAGACATGCTTGTTTAGGTTTGTTAGTTTCTTTCAAAACAAAAAAAAAATATTCACATTTATTAAAAAAAGACATAATATTCTATAACATTCATCTCCAATGACTTTGCTGATTTTGAAAGTCAAAGGCCAGTGTTGTTTCCCCATCACTGACAACTAGCTGCACACTATTTATCACATACTATTCATATTTTTAAATCAGTACTCACCATGTAGCAATTACAGTATGCAAAGTCTTTCACGGTGCAATCCCACAAATGCTGCTTTAGGTGTTGACCAAAACCAGCAAAAGAATACTGCCCTTTAGGTGTTGACCAAAACCAGCAAAATTAGGGATTTTTCATTTAACAAGACACTAGCTGCAGTCGAATAATAGCTTCTTTGTTTGAATCCATTGCTTAACAAATTCACCAAGTCTGCAAACAAAATATCTAAATTGATTCAAAACTATAAACATGTCACATTAATGTACATGGCTCGTAAAAAACTGTAGTGTTTTTACCCAAAGTTGCCTCAAGAGGCATTCAGGGATTCCTAAAGATTTTTAATAGGTCTTGTTATTTCCATCAAAGGAAGGATTTTAAGAGAATAATACACTTTTGTCCATATGTGAGAGAGCACCTGCTGTCACGTTTGTCCACATTATAAACCCATAGCCCATCCACAAACAAGAGCAAAAATTGCGGCTTGATTAAAATATTATGCAATCTTGTGATATAATAGAGGCCCAGACATGAGTTAATTGACTGTCCTTTGTCTGGGGCATACAGTTGGTCAATCCAACCTCAAATGTTTTAAAGACAAAATTAAATATACAAATTTGATGAATAAGTGTTTTGGACGAGTGTTTTGAAATGGCAGGGCATCTGCTTTAAGTTATTAGGCCTTTACTTTTGGCTCCTGTATAATTTACTTTATTCATGCTGCTTACCATCATTGGCATCCACAAAATAACGCGGACAACCGCCAGGATCATGGAGAAGCGCTTTTGTGCAAACACCACTGGTGTGTCCCCCACAGCAGCTATCCTCTGGCCGCTGGCAGACACTGGGGACAGACCGCTGTCCTCTTTCTCCCTGAGCTTTGTCCCGCATGAACTTGGGCTCAGTTCGTTGTAGTCACCGACACTTTTGTTCAAGCTGTCCCGGGAAAAGGACTGAAGATCACAAAGAGGAGCAGAACCACTCAGTCCCCGGGGCATCTCCAAATAACTGGGGTAGAGTAAAGTCCTCTGGGGTTCTCTGGAGCACAGCAGCTGGTAGGTGAGAGGGATAAAGAAAAACAACAAGCCGCAGAAACAAAGACAATATAAAGAGAAAAGCAGCAGGATGTAAAAGCTGTCGCTCTCTGGGAAACACCCGAGAGATGCTGGAGTGAAGCTGCCCCATCCGCACAAAGGCAGCACACTGACGGCCAGGCTGACCGCCCACACAGCGGCAATGGCCCACATCACTCTTAGGGGCCGGCGAACAGACTGAAGAACTCCAAATCTCTTGGTGACATAAAAAGTGTAGGCTGCTATAAGGCAAGACTTCAAATTGCTAGAAACACCCTGGAACACATACAGTAGTCCAGACAGGGTGCATAGACTGCCCGATCCTCCACCTCCATCCGTCTCCCACTGAAGAAGCATGAACAAGGAGAGGGGGACCACGCTGAGCAGGTCGTCCACCGACAAGGAAGCCACAATGAGACATAGGGAGGTTTTTCTTCTCATCCGGAGGAGAGACAGCAGTGAAAACACACCTCCTACAAAGGTAGCAGCGGCGATGGTTACGCACAAGCCGAAAAGCAGCAGGTGAATTTGCCTCTTCACCTCCGAAGGGTCTGTCTTCGCGTAGGGGGCCGTGGAAAGGTAGCTCTGTTTGGGCGTCGGGGAGCTTGGGTGCGTTGTGGACATTTTCAGTGTATTAACTTCTCTGTCTCCTCCGGCACTTTTTATTAGTCAGATCTGACTCATTAGCTTGTGAAGTTTATCGTGCTGCAAAGATGTGAAGATCGCACGGAGCCGCATCCCATAAAAATCAGACAGTGGGAATGATGAGCGAGACATAGCGCAACATCCTTCTCGGATCCAAATAGGAGCGCACGCTTAATCAAGGCTTTCCGATCCCTTGAATGTGGAGCCGCCGGGTACTGAGCTGGCAGCCACTTGTGTTCACCGTTCAAATCGCGCAACCAGGGCATCTGATGTTTCCAGCTGCCGATTTACGCGCTGTCGTCATCACCTTTTCCTCTCACGGCGGTGATCTGGGGTTGGGCTAAACGCAGCCTACTACTGCCGTGTCTGTGTAGAACTACTCCGATGCACCAGGCTGCGTTTTCATGGCTCGACCCTTTCCTCAGGCCATGCCAAACACTAGCATCTTCTCTCCCGTCTGCTGTCGTCCCGCGACTCTTCTCTCTGAATATGGGACGTTTTATCACAAGTGAACACAAACAAGATAAAGAAGAAGCTTTTATGGATTTTTTTTTCTGCCAATGCTTTTTGTGTTTGTGTGTTAAAGGCCTAACACTTCATAGATAATTCCATTTGGAATCCAAGCGGACCATCTACACAAACAGGCTTTGTCTGTGCCAGCCAGTTTCAACAGATTGCCTTTCCATTTTCAAAAACCTTTTCAGCTTAATAGAGTCCAAAAACTAAATGCCAAGAGTGAAATATAAATGCAAATAGAACTTCAATAAGATTTGAGTGGTATGGTGTGACCATGTATGCTGGATGCTCTCTGAGCCAGACTTAGAAGAGAGAAAGGCCAGTTTACTGGAAATATGTGTGTGTTAGTCCTATGTGACACTACTGTTAGAGTGGAGCCTCCCTCTGAGCCAGGAGGACAAAGGACACATTCAAGGAAGTGAAGACAAGTTATCCCTACTTGAATCAGACAAAAGGCCACTGTGTTATAGGGAGAACATATTAATCTCACTAGTCACCAGAGATGTGTTTTAAATGATGATTTAATAAATGCTCACATTGCAATTAAAACAGCCTGATAGTTGTATTAGATATAGATTGAAGGGAAAACACAGGGATACGAAGCCAGCTAGAGAAACACTTAATTTAACAGTATGTGATCCTGTGGCTGGACAGAGGCATGTAGTTAGTGTGTGAAAGCATAGTGTGTATGTGTGTAGTCCTATTCCCTAGTGTGTAATTGGCCTTGTCTTGTCCTTTTCTGTGGTGTTCAAGGATTTTCAGGCTGAAGGACTCCTCAGCTTGTTTAAATGGTTCATGGGAGTTCTTCATGGTCCACTGATAGAAATAATGTTCTATGTGAAGAGCCCTGTTTGTCACTGGTGATAGATTTTTCTGGACTCATTCCCTTTATAAAAATGAACATGTGCATCTACAGTCATGGCCAAAAATATTGGCACCCCTGCATTTCCGTCAGATAACACACTCCTCCCAGAAAATTCTTGTAACCACAAATTCTTTGGCATTTATTTATTTATTCCTTTTGTTTGTATTGGAATGACACAAAAAAGCAGAAAAAACCAAATCTGATCCACACAGAACTCCAAACATGGACTGGACTGATTTATTTACACCCTCAACTTAATATTTGGTAGCACAGCCTTTGGACTAAATAACTGAAATCAGTCATCTTCTGTAATGAGCAGTGAGTTTCTTTCACCTCTCTACTGGAATCTTGGACCATTTCTGTTGCTTTGGGTCATTGTCCTGCTGTAAGACCCATGACCTCTGACAGAGACCCAACGTTCTGACATTGGGCCCCAGAATTCATTGGTAGTCTTCAGATGTCATAATGCCACACACACAGTCAAGACATCAGTGCCTGAAGCAGCAGAGCAACCCCAAAACATCAGTGAACCTCTACCGTGTTGGACTGTAGAGAATGTGTTCTTCTCTTTGAAGGCCTTGTTTCATTTTCTGAAAACAGTAGAATGATGTGCTTGACCAGAAAGCTCTGTTTTAGTCTCATCTGTCCACAGGATATTCTCCCAGAAGGACTGTGGCTTCATCAAGTAGGTTTTGTTAAACTGCAGTCTGGCTTTTTATGTTTCTGTGTCAGCAGTGGGGCCCCTGGGTCTCCTACCATAGCATCTCTTGTCATTCAGATGGCAACAGATAGTGTGAGCTGACACTGTTGCACCCTGTGCCTGCAGGTCAGCTTGAATTTGCTTGGAAGATGATCAAGGTTCTTTATCCACCATTCCAACAATCCTTC